AGAGAACACAGAAGTTAATGTTAATGTTTCTTGTGTTGTTCCCCGGGATGTATCCTTAGGGGCACCTATGTTTGGTGATAGGTTATCACCTTTTTATGATGTGTGGGCTCAAATCACCACTGATAAGTGGGTTTTATCTATAATAGCCCAGGGTTATTTTATTGAATTCCTAGACCTTCCTCGAGTAGGTCATGTTCGTCATACACCATTCTCTCAGCCGTTATGGGAAGAGGTTCGGACGCTGTTAGATAAGGGTGCCATTTCTCTCATAGCTGATAATGTTTATTCTCAGTGTTTTTTCTCGCGCTACTTCCTCATTAAAAAGCGCAGTGGTGGCTTGAGGCCCATTTTAGATCTCCGATTGTTGAATAAATATGTTATACCAAAGAGATTTCGTATGATTACTCTTAATACCATTTTGCCCCTGCTATATAAGGGAGCTTGGTTTGCTACCATTGATTTAAAGGATGCGTATTTCCATTTGTCTATCGCTAGACATCACCGCAGATACCTTACCTTTATGGTGGGTGACACCGCATATTGTTCAATGTCTTACCTTTCGGGTTGTCCTCTGCCCCAAGGGTCTTTACAAAGTGTATGTCCGTGGTGGCGGCTTACCTGCACACGAGGGGAATTTCTGTCTACCCATATATAGATGACTGGTTAGTTGTGGCTGACTCCCGTGACCATCTTCAGTCTCAACTTTCTGTCATTTTGTCTCTTATACAGTCGCTAGGACTCGTCATCAACGTGGAAAAATCGGCACTGACACCGTCTCAACGAATCCAATTCATAGGCGCCCTCTTGGACTCCACGACCGAGAGGGCCTACCTCCCAGAAGACCGGTGTGCCAATCTCCAAGACCTAGTCAGACAGGCTGTCCATGCTCCTTGTCTCACTGCCAGGCAGATCCAGGTTTTGTTAGGCCATATGGCATCTGCAACTGCTGTGATTCCGTATGCCAGGTTACGCATGCGCCCACTGCAATCCTGGTTCATATCGGTCTACAATCCCATCATGGACAGTCAGACGATCCAACTTTCCATCCCCGAGGATGTCCGCAGGTCACTCCTATGTTGGGTGGACAGGTCTTGGGTGTGCAAGGGTTTCCCATTCCATACCCCCAGGCCAACATGTACTGTTACAACAGATTCCTCCCTTTCGGGATGGGGTGCCCATGTTCTAGGCCTTACTGCTCACGGAGAGTGGACAGAAGAGGAAAGAAGAGCTCACATAAATTTTCTCGAGCTTCTCGCCGTAGAAAGAGCATTGCAGTCGTTCGAAAGGGTTGTGAGAGGTCAAACCATACAAATTCTCACCGACAACACGACTGTGATGTTTTATTTGAACAAACAGGGCGGCACACATTCTCTGCCCCTCTTGAATCTCACGCTCAGGATTTGGGATTGGTGCTTGGAGAGGGGGATTCATCTTGTAGTGACTCATGTGCCAGGGGAGGAGAACACGTTAGCAGATTCTCTCAGCAGGAATCCGCTGGCGAACCACGAGTGGTCCCTAAACCAGGGGGAGGTGGACAGACTTTTTCGGGCGTGGGGACGTCCAGAGATAGACCTGTTTGCGTCCCAGGCAAACGCAAAGTGCGCCCTCTTTTGCGCACGAAGGCGCCCTTCTCTAAGGGAGGGGTGCATGGGGGATGCGTTCCTGCAAGAATGGTCAAGTCGCCCACTGTACGCCTTTCCACCCTTCCCCCTGTTGTTAAAGGTAGTAGCAAAGATACAGAGGGAAAACGCACGTTGCATTCTAATAACCCCATGGTGGCCGAGACAACCCTGGTTTTCCCCACTGCTCAAAATGTCTCAGAGGATCTTCTTCCGTCTTCCCGGAAGAGTGGATCTTTTGTCGACTCAGGAAGGTCAGGTCCTGTACCCGGAGGTTCAGAAACTGAGGCTGACAGCTTGGAGAATCCAGCCGAGCCATTAATCCCCGTTTCGGCTCTATCTAGTAGTGTACGGGCTATTATTGAGGCTGCCCATAAAACCTCAACGAAGAGATCGTATGTCTATAAGTGGTCTAAGTTTTGTAGGTTTGTGAGATCAAAGGGGGAAAATCCTACCACTGTCCCGGTCACGACAATACTAGATTTTTTAGTGTCCCTCTCTGATGCAGGGCTATCATGTTCGTCGCTAAAGTGCTATCTTGCGGCGATCTCATGGTTCCGAAGAAAGGAGGGTTTTTCATCTTGCTTCTCTCACCCCCTAGTTAAAATGTTTTTAAGGGGAATGGCGAACACCACTCCACCAGTAGCGCCGATAGCCCCAGCATGGAATCTCGAGTTAGTGCTATCTTTTTTGACCAAACCGCCCTTTGAACCATTGGCTACGACTCACATTGCATATCTTTCATGGAAGACGGCCTTTTTAACAGCCATTACTTCGGCTAGACGGGCAAGCGAATTGTGCGCGCTACAGGTAGATCCTCCTTATTTGAGGATGCATAAAGATAAAGTAGTGCTCAGAACGGATATTACCTTCTTACCCAAGGTGTCTTCCTTTTTTCACATGTCCCAAGAAATTATACTTCCCTCGTTTTTCAAAAACCCATCCTCGCCCATGGAACGAAGTTTACATCTCCTGGATGTCAGGAGGTCCATAGCTTTCTATATGGACAGGACGGCGTCCCTCAGGAAGACGCCGCGATTATTTGTTAAATACCGCAAGGACATGGAGGGATTGCCCTTGTCATCCCAAAGATTCTCCTCCTGGATAATTTCAACAATTAAGTTATGTTACCGTTTAGCTGGCAAAGACTTACCGTTACAGGTCAAGGGCCATTCTACCAGAGCCATGTCGACCACGACTGCTTTCATGAAGGGAGTGCCATTGGATGTCATCTGCCGAGCAGCTATATGGACGAACCCCCTGTCGTTCGTGTCCCATTACAAGTTGGATATCGTCTCCAAGAGGGATGCGGAGTTCGGCAGAGCGGTGTTGTTTTCGGCGGTGGCATGACTCCCTCCAACCACGGTCAGTAGCTCGCTAATCTACCAAATGTATGATTCGCAGTGACTACGACAGGAAATTATAAGTTGCTTACCTGTAACTGTAGTTTCCTTAGTAGTCACCTGCGAATGCATACATACCCGCCCTTCCTCCCCTCAGATGTCATGCCGCGCCTTCCAGCTGCTTAGCGGCGGAAGAGAACTGCCGGCTGGCCCCGCCCACGGGCTATTTATGCGGGGGGAGAGTGGGCGTGGCCAAGGGCTAACTGTCATTTTTTGCTTTTAATGGGCTCCGAATGCTGCGACACAGGCGCAGAGATTACCAAATGTATGCATTCGCAGGTGACTACTAAGGAAACTACAGTTACAGGTAAGCAACTTATAATTTTCTGGTGTGTTGGGAAACCGAACCAAGGGATTTAAGTCTTCAGCCTGTGTGTTTAGAGAGTCAGTTGGACCTGTTTGAATTAGCAATTAGCTCATGAGCTAAGGGGGGAAAAAACACCCAGTAGTATCTATAGCTGAAGGGAACTGAGGGTCCTTCTAGACAGGCCAAAAATCTAAGAGGATTTGGGTTTTTAAATCCCACTTCCTCTTGGGATGAAGGCTGTAATGAAATAGCTAATTATAAAGTATGTTTTGCATATGTTTATTGATATTGTGGTGTAAGTGTAGGCCAGCTGATGGGTAGCCTGAGCTGGGGCGTTGCCATAGCAACATAGCCTCCAGGCAGAAGCAAAAGTGGGCGGAGCTAACTGCCACTGGTGGAGAGAGAGAGAGAGACAGTCTGCGGTGAGGAAGCCAAAGAGGAAAGTTGGTTCTGGTGTGTTGGGAAACCGAACCAAGGGATTTAAGTCTTCAGCCTGTGTGTTTAGAGAGTCAGTTGGACCTGTTTGAATTAGCAATTAGCTCATGAGCTAAGGGGGGAAAAACACCCAGTAGTATCTATAGCTGAAGGGAGAATCAGGCAAGCCAGTGCCTTGAATTGTCAGCTAAGAAAAGAAAGATACTTTGCAGTGAAATGAGTTTAAAACGAGTCTGGTGGAAGTAAAAGCCATACTGAGAGTTATATTGGAAACCATTACTAGTATTTGTGTTAAATAAAGTCAACTGTAACAACATTTAAAGGAATACAGAATAACCAAACTTTGTACACCTGTGAATCCTTGAATAAATATTTCCTTGATCAGTTCTTTATAATTAAGCCACATGTCCATTTATTGAGAAGAAGATTTACCTCAGAAGAAGGCGGCTGAAGATACTGGGAGAAAGGATTCTGGTTGGGGTAATGAGTTACTCCTTTTAAAAAGAAGTGCCTCAAGTAAAAACATTTTAAAAGTCAAGCCTTAGCAACACACACCACCACTATCTTAGTCTCCTCATATATATGTGATTTGTTCATCATCTTTTACAAAGGCCATGCATCTGGCTTAAATCCAGTGCTTTTGAAGAGGTGGTGCCCAGATACTCACCACTGCTGAATTGAGATCAGCAGAGGTGGGCATTGGCAGTGCCAGGCTTTCCCTCCCTGCCCTCTATTTCCCCTGCACTGACCAGGAGAAGACTCCATTCTTTCAAGACCTGAAAACTTCCTCTCTCCTCCCCCTCCAAAGCAAAAGGAGGGCTTTGGTAGTGTAGAGGTGGCTTTCCTCCAAGGCCTCCCTGTTGGTTCTTTCAGGGAGGAAGAAGTGACAAAGGCTCAAGGTCTGCATGGAAGGCTTCCTCCAGTAAGTTGAGAGGAAATGGGGAGGGGGGCAGGAGGGAGTCTAGACGGGGGTAGGGAAGGAAAACACATGTATTCCACGCTTGAAGGTTTACACAGGCATGGAAACACATGTGCTTCTCAGGAGGAACCGAGTTTAAAGGGCTGCTTTGAAACACGTGTTTTCTGGCATTTAACCCAATTCCTCTAGATTCCTCTCACATTTTGGATAAATGTTGTTTAGCCACCCCACTTTTAACCCAATTTAACCCGGTTTATAATGCATGTGTAGAAGGGTCTTGAGAGTCAGGGAGAGTCAGTGAATAAGCAATAGCTCACTTCCATTATCCTGTTGAGGCATTGGTTTGATGTCCGATTTGTTCAAGTGTGCAGCAGGTGGTGGCACTGAAAAGTAAAAAGGAGAGAAAGTGATGGGAGTGTGTGAAATACCAGAATTGTAGTGCTGAAATTAAAATGATGTTTCTCAACATTGCCAGATACTGTCAAGTGCTTTATATAGAGAGTTATTACATGTTGTTTCTCAAATATTGCCAGACATTGACCATTTATTGCACTTACATAAAAGATGATTTTGATGGTGGTGGTGGGAGAAGGAACGTGTGTTATGCTACATATCCTATGGTGGAATCAGAGAATGAGCTTTGGAGAAGATGTTGGGTGCTTCCACACTGGGGAAAAACCCATGATGAAAGGGGTTTAAAAAACTTGCTTCGTGTGAGGTTTTGTCCCCACACCCTCTCCCAAAACCTGACTTTCCCGGTGGAGTGTCCAGCCATCCCACCCACCCCCAAAAGCCTTAAATAAAAAAACCTATGCTGCCATTATACTGGTCCGGTAGTTCTTCTGGTGCATAGAAATTATGTGTCGGGAGGTGGGAGGAGTAATTTTGCTCTTGGTGCATCATTTATACATGGCAGGAGGATTGCCAGTGGCCTGGTGAGTTTTTTATTTTAAAGATTTGGGGGGGGGGGRGTGGGGGGAGCCATTTCACTCCTACGAGCTTTGGAAGCCCAAAGAAGTGACATGGCAATAGAGATTGATCCCCAGGTAGGCCTGGGACTACTTGTGGATCAGTCCCCACAGGGCCAATACCCCATTAGACCAACAGGGTGATGATATTTTGATCCTGATTGTAGTTGAAAAGATGTGTACCAATGCTTGGTCGTATTATTTTGATTACGTTGAATATGAGGATCTCGGTATAATTTTATTTTCCATAGAATTTGGAAAAGTGAAGTTTGGTTTAATGCAGCAGCTTTGGGATGTTCAGAATCAGTTTCTAATGTATGTTACAATAAAATAAGCTGTTTGTTCATTTAATCCTCTTATATTGCCAAAGGTTGTGGTAGGTCTCTACTGAGCTCATTCTCACATTGTAATACCATATACTCCAGGCAAAAGCCTCAGCAGAGTTAGTAGAAATACTTATACTCATCGCTGTTTTGAAGCTGCTCAAGCAACTTGGTGACTTTTAAGGGCAATTCCAGACAGCATCAAAATGCAATTTTAAAAAATAGGGCAAAAAAAAAAAGATATGGAAAAAGTATTTTCCATGGGAAATACTGCTATAATGTTGAATTCCTGTAGCTCATTGCCTGTTTTTAAAAATACTATCACGTCCTTTTACAAATGAGGCATGAAAGTCGCTCCAAAGCCTCTTGGAAGTGCACTTTCATATAAAGGATACGCTCTCTATACATATTTGTTTTAAAGGTAATGATGGTTTTTTTTAGTGCTGCTGTTGCCATAAAAGCTAATGGAAGCATTCTAATGTGAGCATTCATAAAAAAACAAAAGCAAACACTGACTTTTTTAAATGAACAGGATTACAAATTACCTAATTACCAGGCATCACGGGGTACCTAAGCTAGTATTAACAATACATGTGAATGTTTGTTTGTAAGTATCTATGCTTTGTTTGTATTTTTCATGATGGCCCCCACTTCCATCAACAATGGATCTGGGCCACACATACCCAACATGGCCAACTTTAAATACTAGTGGGGTTTAGAAGGGACTGACCCATAAATCTGGAAGCTATAGTTCACCCACAATCAAAGAGCACTATGAAACAAATTGACAATGGATCTTGACCAAACTTGGCACACATACCCAACATGCCCAACATTGAGTACTGGTGGGATTTGGAGTGAACTGACCTTGAACACAGCCAACAATAGATCTTGACCAAACTTGGCACACATAACCAACATGACTAACAGAAAATATTGGAGGAGTGTGGGAGAGATTGATTCTAAGATTTGGGACTTCTAGGTCACCCACATCCAGACAGCATTCTGAACCCAACCCTCAATTTTTTTCATGTAGATTATGAAGAAATTTAGATTCAAAGTAATGTAATTACCCTTGGAAGCCACAATCCCAAACAATATGATGATCAGCAGATAAGCAATTGCCAGCAGTATATAAATCAGGTAGGAAGGTTTCCATTTCCACTGAGGCATGTATTGGCCTACCAAAAAAGTTATGTAATTAAAAATAGAATCTTGCGCAGAAAATATCTTCAGCAAAGTAGTACAAGGAGTGTTTAATACAGTAAGATCTCTATAACCATTATCTACATTCACCTAGAACCAAGAAAAAAGGATCTCTCTAGGAATTTGCTAGATCCTGCAGGCGATTCCATGGTATGCTTAACTTTCAAGGGAAGCATACCATGGAATTGCTTGCAGATCAAGCTACCCTGGAGGACCTATAAAATGTCTAGAGGGGATAGCTCTGTATAACTTTCTTTGTCCTCAAGGATAATTCTAAGATATGCTGGGACTAGAATCAGGTAATTTAATGAGTTATATTCATGATTTCAGGTACCATAACCATAGTCTGGCTGAGAACGTGCTCTCCTCAGATACAGGAATTTTACTGTATAATTTTATTGCAACCTGGTAGTAGACAGAAAATGGGGCTTTCTTGCCCAGGTGTGCATGAAACTACTACGATGATGTACATTGAAGACCTTATTTGGTAGCATTAGAAAATTATATTGCAAGAGTAGACATTGGGAGACATTGTTTATTTCCTAAGTTGGCCATTGATAGTATACCATGTGTTGAATATGGTTATTTTGTGCCTTCAAGTTGTTTCCAACTTATTGTGAGTCTAAAGGGACCCTATGACAGAGATTTCTTGATAACATTTGTTCAAAACAAAGTTGCCTTTGCCTTCCTCTGAGAGAGCATGACTTACCCAAGGCCATCCAGTGGGTTTCCAGGGCCAAGCATGGATTTGAGCACCAGTCTCTCAAAGTTCTAGTTCCATGTATCTCAAGCTCTGGTTCTCCAGATGTTTTAAACATCAGCTCCCAGAATCCTTAATTATTCACCAAAACAGCTGAGGCTTCTGTGAGTTAGTCAAAAATTCTTGGAAGACTAGATTTTGGGAATCACTGTTCTAGTCCTACAGTCAAACCCTACAACACACTAACTTGAAAATCATTTTTAGTGTGATCTTCAAATCAGAATAACTGCAGTCTAATAGGGCCCTTCCACACAACCTTGTATCCTAGAATATCAAGGTGGAAAATCCTACAGTATCTGCTTTGAACCGCGTTATCTGAGTCCACACTCCGATAATGTGGGATTTTCTGCCTTGATATTCTGTGATATAGGGCTGGTGGAAGGGCCCATAATTTAGTTGAAGTTAACCAAGGTTTTATTCATAAGTTAATACATTTTGGCATCCTTATTATTTGTGTAAGGAAATTATTAGCATAAAAAGACAAATGTTTTTCTGTAATTGCCTTACCTGATTCTGTAACCAAAAATACTTGATTGGGAAGGCAGATATAGATCACGAGTATCCTTTATCCAAAATGCTTTGTACCCAAATTGTTTTGGATTTCACATTTTTCCCAGATTTTTAACACTTTGCATATATGTACATAATGTGGTATCTTGGAGACTGGATCCAAGACTAAACACAGAATTCATTTTTGTTTTATATACACCTCATACACATAGCTTGAAGGTAATATTATACCCTATATTTTAGTTGTTTTTGTACATACAAAAGGTTGGCTTTTGGACACAAAAAGCAGAATTTTTGCATCACACCAAAGCTTTGGCAGAAAGCCCCCCCCCCAAGTCCTGAAATGTAGACAACAAAGAAACAAAAACAAACAAAAAACACACCCACACAGTGATTGATCACCTTATTTCTTCTTGTTAAGGCAAAAAGAAATTGTGAACATTTGTTACACATTCCTAATATATCATAATATATTTAAAAGGGTCTTTCAAGAAATCTCTAAAACCACAGGGTGAGGATTACGTCCTCTCAGCTCTGCAACAATGGCACGATGGGTTAAATCCTTCTGCCAGCAGGACTGCTGACCAACAGGTCAGTGGTTTGAATCTGGGGAAATAGGAGAAGCTTCCTGCAAGGATGGTAAAACATCAAACATCAGGGCGTCCCCTGGGCAACATCCTTCCAGATGGCCAATTATTTCACACCAGAAGTGATTTGTAGTTTCTCAAGTCATTCCTGACATGAAAAAAAATGCTCTACGGCAAGTGTATGAAATTCTGATTGTGTTATCAATTCTATTTCCTCCATCAATGCTTCAGTGAGTCTCTTATACATTTATCTGTTGGTTTCTCAGCTTAACAATGTCAGATACTTTACTATTTCTTTTTAAAAAGAGAATATTATCCAAATACTCCAATTGCCAAACTGCTATGTGAAATGAGGAGAAGCAAAGTTTTCTTGGTGAGCAATCAAACAATAAATTGCACAATTAGTGTTGGCTTCAAAGCTGCAGACTGATTTTTTTTCATTGCTCAGTCCTAGATCTCAGGGGTGTAGCTAAGGTGGGAAGAGGGTGATGAAGGCACTGCCCCCCCCCCAAAATAAGAGTTCTGCTTTCTCCAGGGAATTTTCTTCTAGTCTCCACATTTCTAGGCTTGCAGTGACTTAAATATTTAATTGAAGCTTTAGAAATACAGATTAGACTACCAGAGAAAATGTTCAGACAAGGTGACCAAAATAATGTGTCGATAGCCTTAGCATGAACGATTTTCAGTGTCTCACTCTCTGAAATGCTAGAAATTTGGAGACTGGCAGAATGTTTTATGGCAGAGAGGACAGAATTCATATTGGGAGGATAAAGCCCCCTCCCCATATTGACACTCATGCCCATTTGGGAAAGTTTTGGATTCAATTCAGAGCTGCACCTTTGTTTAAAATGCAAATACACTGTATATTTGTCTTCAAAAATCAAGTTGATTCTATGGCAAGTATTTACCTAACATGCTGGGTGCCATAGCTGTTTCATTCTCTTCCCCGATGTCATCCTGCTGCCTTTCATAAGCCCCAACTCGACCCATCATGTTCTTGTGCCTAAAGGTCTCCTCTTTAACGGGCTTATATCATGCTCCCAAATTTAAGGAACTGAATGAAATATGATGCATGGGCGTGTTTTCCCCTGCTGTTTCTTAGGAAAGCCACCCTTCAGAGAAAACAGAAGTTGCATCACATTGCCTGGGAATAGCAGAGTTTATTTTCTTTTTGCTAGTTGTCATTATGTCCATATATCACTATTCCCTTTCAACCTGGTGAGTCAAGTTTTTTTCAGTGGGATCTACAATGGAGCCCCTTTTATTTTTTTTCTGTGCCATGTTAAAACACCTCAAACCTAATGGGTCTGTCTCTTTAAAAATCCATCACAGTGTTCAGTTTTATTTTGCACTTTTTGGAGACTAATTAAGTCAAAGGTTGACATTTATAAAAGTCACTTTAGTTTCCAACCAGTACAGTATGTTGCATTTTTCTCTATGTTTGAATAACCTATATTCTCAGGCTTGATTTTACTTCCTCACACACAAGTTTTCTTCTTAATTTCTTAACTTTGTGAATTTGTTGGAAGAGGGTTCCAAGCATATAGTTCACTCTTACTAAAATGTCTTCTCCAGTTGTCTTTTGTTTGTGATTGAAAGCATCCACATCCACAGAGCTTCTCAACCTGGGGTCCCCAGATGTTTTGGCCTTCAACTCCCAGAACTCCTAACAGCTGGTAAACTGGCTGGGGTTTCTGGGAGTTGTAGGCCAAAAGATCTGGGGACCCACAGGTTGAGAATCACTGGTTAACAGGTTGGGTGCTAGGAGAAAGGATGCCAAGTCTCTCACATCTCAATGTCTGACAGCCGCAGAGATATTGTGAGGTAGGTCTTTGTGATGTCATGGGCTTTCCAGCTCATAGCAGAAACAGATGGGTCTCAACTTTAATGGGATATGGATGGGTCACAATTTTAAATGGCTAGAACTAAAGGTATGACACTTTAAAAGGAAAAACAAAGGGAAAGGCTCAGTGAGGAAAAGTTGTTTCTCTATGGGATAGCACCCCTCTTCTCAACATTTTGAGCTCAGAATGTTTTGTAGAAATTCAGCAAGCATGTAAGACAGGAACAAAAATGCCCCTTCCCATTATATTTTGGAGACAGTAACTTGAATAGACGTAAAGACCCGATATTTCTTTGGAAAGTATAAACACTACTCATTTCTGACTCCCAAAAGTAATTTAATTTCTCAATTGACAATTCTTCTTTAACTTTTGTACTGGGGCTCTGATTAGTTATTATTGGGATTCTTATAAATAGTTAAGCAGATGCTGTAAACAGGGTCACCTTGATAATTTTTCTTGCCTAAAGCAGAGCAAAAACATGGCACTCCTAGAGATAAATCACACAAATTCCTAGACCAATAGAATTAAATTAAACACAGTTCTCACAAGCACATCTTCCCACTCCCTGGCAGTCAGACTATAATCATAATAAAGTTGGCTTTCTGCATCCATGGATTCTAAATCTACATATTCAACTGCCCGCATCTTGAAAATAATAAAATAAATCCAAAGGCAAAACCTGATTTAGCCATTTTAAGGAAGACTATACTTTACCATTGTATATAATGAGATCTGAGCATCCAAGGATTTGGGTTTTTTGAAATCTTGCAGGTTATGATGGGTCCTGGAACCAAAACGAAGTAGATATGAAAGGCCTACAGTAAATAGCTAATAATTGCCTGTTCTTTGTGATATGTTCACAAATTGTTACCTGGGGTACCTGTACCAGGCTACACAATGAGGRTTGATAGAGTCTAATAGCTGAGCTAGGCATAAGAAGATATAAAGGTTTCTCAGGCCTCACCATGGCCACACAATTCCAAGATGCAAGGGGGGGGGGGGTGGCTCTATCACTCACATGCCATGATAGTAGAATAGGTGCTGTTTGAGGGCAGAAGGGTGATGGTTGCTTGTTCATTTATGCTTTACTAAAGAAATGAAAATCTAAGAAGAAATGGGGTTGGCAGACAAAGGATAAAATGCAAGTCTGACCAAATAATATCAACAAGACTTCAGGGAATGCCCATCAATATTACCATCATCCAAGTTGATGCTGCAACTACAGAGGAAAAGAAGATGACTTTGAAAGAGTCCTTGTTCAGAAAGACATTGATCATACACCAGGACAAGACTTCTTGTAATACCAAAGAAAGAAAAAGATCAAAATGAGAGACTGTAGGAAAATTTAGCATGACAGTGTATAGAGAGCTTGTTCTATGTTCCAGGCCACGGTGGTAGATGATCCACCTTTAGAATCTAAAGATTTTATTATTATTATTAATTATTAACTTTATTTGTACCCCGCTAGCATCTCCCGATGGACTCGATGTGGCTTACAAAGGCCAAGGCCTCAATAAAACAACAACATAACAATACACATAGCATTATAAAGTGAATCAAAACATTAAGCAATAACAGTAAACAATAGAAAGAGTACACCATGACACAATAAAACTAGGGCCAGGCCAAATGTAATGGGTACAGATTAAAAAGTGCTGAGTATGACAGGTGGAATATAGGATTTTAGGGTAAGTGCAATGTGTAGACAATCTTAAATCTCTAATAAGGTGCTTCTGGGACATATTGCTGGAGTTTCCTATTCTGGAAAGGCACACCGGAACAGCCAGGTCTTCAAACTCTTCCTGAAGACTGCCAGTGTAGGGGCTTGTCTGATGTCCTTGGGGAAGGTGTTCCAAAGTCGTGGGGGCACCACAGAAAAGGCCCTGTCCCTCGTCCCCACCAGACGCGCCTGCGATGCAGGTGGGATTGCAAGCATGGCCTCTCCAGATGAACGAGGAGAACGTGTGGGTTCATAAACGGAGATGCGGTCACTCAGGTAGGCAGGTCCCAAACCGTTTAGGGCTTTGTAGGTAAGCACCTGCACCTTGAATTGGGACCGGAAGATGAATGACAGCTAATGGAGCTCCTTGAACAGGAGGGTTGACCTCTCTCTCTGTAAGGAGCACCGGTTAACATCCTGGCCGCCGCCCGTTGGACTAACTGAAATTTCTGGGCCGTTTTCAAGGGCAGCTCCACGTAGAGTGCATTACAGTAATCCAATCTAAAGGTGACTAAAGCATGGACCACCCCGGCCAGATCAATCTTTACAAGGTACAGTCACAGTTGGCGCACGAGTCTCAATTTTAGAGCATATTTTATGGAGATTTTTTGCATGGTGTTTTTGCTAAAGTAGAGAGCTTGCTGAAGACATTCTTCTTGCTGCTATTTTTGCATCCATACTGAAGAAATGAGTCATAGGCCAGGGAGGGTACTGCCCTCCTTGATAGCAATGGCACTATATTCTTAGATGTTTGTTTACATTAAAAAGCGTTTCCTTTGGACTGAGTCAACAGCTTGCACAATTTTCTTTTGATGTTCAATTTCTTGAAGTCTTGCAGAATATTCTGCACAGAAAAACATATCTGTTCTTTGTATTGTCGAAGGCTTTCATGGCCAGAATCACTGGTTTGTTGTAGGTTTTTCGGGCTGTATGGCCATGTTCTAGAAGTATTCTCTCCTGATGTTTTGCCTGCATTTATGGCAGGCATCCTCAGAGGTTGTGAGGAGCTGCCTTAAGTCACCTTCAGGTTTGAGAAAGGTGGGGTAGAAATATTATAAATAAATAAATAACCTCTGAGGATGCCTGCCAGAGATGCAGGCAAAACCTCAGGAGAGAGTGCTTCTAGAACATGGCCATACAACAACCCATATGTGTTCTTCATTTGTTTGTTTGCGTAAGAAACATTTGTGTGTGTGCAGAAAATAGGGTAGGTTTTTTTAAAAAAATTTAAATCACATATTCTTCATAGAAGAAGCATTTTCCCACATCATTTTAGGATACTTAAATACAGGGAGAATACTGCAGAGGAATATTTCTTTTCACCTACAGAAGGGAGAAAAGTATCACAAATCTTCATTCTCATGTGAAAATAAAATACAGATAGTCCCCGAGTTACAAAAATCAGTCTTACAAATGACCCATAGTTAAGAATGGGGGACCATCCAGACAGGCCCTAAAACACGTGTCCTCCTGCTTCTTCAAGTGGGGCATCCAAATGACATCCCACAGAAAAACGATTGCATTTGCAACAAAGCAGGAAAGCTCTGCTTTGCAGCAAATTACTTTGATAGTGGGTTTGATCTGCGCTTTCCCGAAAGGTGCAGGTCGAACCCACTATGGCCGGTGTCTGGACTGCCCCTCAAAAGTCCTGGACTTCTGAGGGGGCAGTCCAGACACCTCTATCATGTTTTCCAGGCTGATTCAGCTAGGAAAACCACAAGGGCACCAACCCACTTTCCACCCCCACCCGCACAAAACCCTCAGAAATAAAAAGGAAACTCATTGGGGGCCATTTGGGTTCTCCTCCTGACTGAAAGGACATACCAATGACAACCAAAAAGAAGGGGAGGGGCAATTGCTCGTGGCTCTCTCTTGCTTTTCGGACATCATTGGAATAAAATACATCATAATATAAAATAAATAACATATTACATAAACCAGATATATAAATTAAGTAAAAACAACCTCTATTAAATAGAATCAGTAAACTCTAGCTATACCTGTTGATTAAAAAGCCCACACATCAATCAAATACAACTTAAAAACAAACCTACAGAACCTATCTTCCTCATACCTTGGGGACTGCCTGTATTGAGGAATGTATAATGTAGGGGAAAAAATTGCAAATTATGCTATTAAAGCTCATATATGGTGAGGATATGATAGGTAGAGCCAGGACTCAGCTACCTTTGTGACTGTGCATTTTCAGATATGACAACCTGAAACAACTGTCTATGATTCTAAGAATGAATTGTCACCGATATAGAGGAATTATAGTTGTTGGAAATTTTAATTGCTAATAACCATAGGTCATCAGAATGTAAAAACGAAGAGATTATACAAATATTTGATAATGAAGTTAGAATATAAACATAACAAAAACTTTTTAAACATGATTTCTGATATTATTACATTTGCCTGTACAAATTAAAATTTACAGTAGTAAAGGCAGTAAAAGTCACGCTTTTGAGAATGCTTTGTAATAATTCATATGGGGGTTTGCTAATACCATTAAGAATATTTCAGCTCTTCTGGTGATACTAGGATATTTGTTAATGAGCAACAAATCTGGGTTTTCGGGGCAGGCCAGCCATTTTTTTTCAACAGACAACAACCTATGAGTTCCCCCTTTAATTCCATTTGACAAAAGACAACAAAAATATAGTAGGGGAGGTCCAGACTACAGTGACAATGGCATTCTTACATTTTTCCACTTGCGACTCCTCTCTGCGCTATAACTTTTTAATTCCAAGCATATAGGTATATAAAAGAAGTGTAAAATCAAATAGTGATAATAGTGATAATAAATCAGCTTTTGCAAGGCTAGCTAAACAGCCTGGTTTTCCTTTTTAGGAAGTACAACTGAAATATTTTCTGCAGAGTCTATTGTAAAACATTGCACATTGTAGTTTACAGATTTGTGTAAATGTCTAAAAGACCCACTAGGTGGCAAAACTTTTACTGTTGTCAAAATTTTCACATCCTCAACATTGAACTAAGGGGACCCCATTTGGGGTTAGGACCCACAGTTGATGCAGTGACATAAACAGTAAGGGAACTTATCTAATTTAATAGACTGACCAGCATTGTGGAAGACATTAGCTGAAACTTTGCTATTGTTAGCTCCCTATTAACAAAGTAATACTGTTCTTCCAGTGTACATATATTACAGTCAGGTTCTCAGCAGTAAACAATTAGTCCAATAAATTATCTGTACTCTGGGGATATTTCAAAGGGATGCTTAAGTCCTCCTTTAGTGTTGTGGGCTTGTTCCCAGCACAGGCCTTTCACAGATGTAGAAGCATGGATAGGTGCAGTAGACATCATTCCATTCTCCGTTGTTCCAGAGATGTGCACAGTCTTCAATTTTACCATCATCATTGGGCTCCCCTTGTGCCCAGTGCCTATGATTAAAGAGCAATGCATTACAAAAAAATTCCCAATTTTTAAAGACTCTCTGTTGCTTTTACTAGTAGCTGTGGTGGTAATTTCAGTCAGGGCCATTATGCAAGGAAATTGAGCGAGGAGAGGAGAATAATCTCCATGTGATAATTGTGATCCAAATTAATCTCTGAATTTCTACTAGCTCAGCGTGTGTGTGTATGGGCAGGGGCGGCTCAACCCATTACGCAAAGTAAGCATTTGCAGTATAGTTGATTTTGCACTCTTTAGGTGCTCTTGGGGGGAAATAGACCTTGACATATGCAAGTTGTAGTTACTGGGATGTATAGTTCACCTACAATCAAAGAGCATTCTGAACTCCACCAATGATTGAATTGAACCAAATATGGCACACAGAACTCCCACGACGAACAGAATATATATATCAGTGATTGGTTGGGGGGGGGGCGCAAAATACTGTTTGCTTACCGTTGAAAATTACCTAGGGCTGCCTCTGGGGCCTCTACATTTGAACACAACTATGTTTGCTATGGTTTGGTTCCAGGACTCCCCTCTCATGATGGATAACAAAATCCATGGATGCTCAAATTCCGTTATATATATTGATATTGTGAAATGGTGCCACTTAAACAAATGGTGAACCCAAACAAGTGCCAAACAGAGCCCGAGGATCTATAAAATGGTGAAAGGCTACCGCAAGGTATGCCTATGCACTAGCATAGTATTTAGTGTACACAAAATCGAGGTTTGCTTTTTGGATTTTCCCCTCAAATATTTTTGAGCCATGGCTGGTTGAATCAGTGAATTATGAAGTGTCAACTGTATATCTTTTTTTGTACTGAAAACCACAATTCTCCTATTAGATGATTTGTGGGAAGAGAATTTAAGGAAGTTTCAGTTACCATCACCATCTTCCTGACCTGGAGGACCCAAGCTTGGTCTTTATGAAGAACAAATTAGGACATCAAATGTCAGAAGCCAAAGATGCATTATATATTGAGGCTCATGTATTGTACAGTAACATATAGTTCTCTTAATGAGATAGTGACTGAGAGAACCTCAGATAGGACTAGAAAAAAAATCAGTGGTAATCATTGCTAGGCTTTTGGTTCTGCCTTTTATAGCTTTCTGATAGGGCTGGGTGGTTTCGTTTCGTTAATTCGTAATTCGTTAATAATTCGTTAATTTTTTCAATTACAAAACGATAACGAATCATTCTGGAGCAATTATTAAAAAAACGAATTTTCAAAAACGTTTTGTAAATGCTTCGTATTTCGATATTGTATTCGTTTCGTTATTGTTTTGAGGTCGTTTCGTTATTATTTCCGCATGTCTGGGCCAGTTTTATGGTTTAATTAGTGAAAAAAAATTATAATATCACACCAACAGTCAAAAACAGAGGGAGAGGGAAGCTTCAGAAGGTTTTGGAGGTTTTTTAGCGTATTTCGCGGTCGCGTCCGCCATTAACGAATCGATTCGTTATTGTTTCGGAAATCGATTCGTTAATTTTTTACCATTTACGAAATTTCGTAAATATCGAACTTTTTAAAAGGAAAATTTTGTAATTATTTTGAATATCGAAACAAAAAAAAACCCCAAATACAAATCGATTTTAGAAACAAATTTTTCCGTTGTTACCCAGGCCTAATTTCTGATTCATGGTGATGACTCTCCTATCAGTTCACCAGCAACAGTGGAGCACTAGCCACCATGGTCTTATTCTAATTCAGTATTTGAGAATTCCCACTGGCAAAGTTTGTATCGGACATAGCTGACAGATCAGTTCTGATGCTTACGTGAAGCCATTGTTGCTGTCTCTGCCATCCACCCATTTCCAGTGATTTTCAGCCTCGATGTCACTGAGTCCTATCCAATAACGCTCATTCCTGGTCCTGGTCTGAAGGAAATTCTGAGTGTGAGAGGAACAGACGGAGAAACAAAACAAATATAATTCTGGCTACATTGACTTCCATGTTTGTCAGAAGATAATGGTTGCCTCAGTTTTGTCACTAATGCTGTATGTGAATGTAAATCTTTATATATAGCCAAAATGGCACCATATACATGCATAAACAAATATATCAGTAGACTTGGAGGCAGTCTATGGCTATCTGATGACTCTACAGCCCTTGAATAGAGTCTGCTTTAAGAAAAAAAATAAGTTAAGAAAAAAAATAAAGACTCTACAGGTACCTACATTTTTTGGTTCTTCCTTCACTCTCCTATAATCCCAACTGTTTTACAGGACAGGAGGAAAATGACTTCTTGTTGAGGATGGTGTATATGAATGTTCCTTCTGATATGTTGTCTCTCTGATTTAAATTGTACTCTGCCAAGTTTGCCTGACCAAAAGAAGTACTTATATATTTGAGTATAAGGCTAGTTTTTCAGTCCCTTTTTTAGTCTGAAAAAGCTCCCCTCGGCTTATACTCAAGTCAAATTATTTTACTCTGTTATTAGTACAATTTTATTACATTTATTATTTTACTCTATTTATTATTATTACATTTATTATTTTACTATTTATATTGTTTTTATTACATGTATTATTTTACTCTATTACTGTTATTATTTACATTTACATTATTTTACTCTATTATTATTATTACATGTATTATTTTATTCTATTTATTATTATTACACTTACTTTACTGTTTATTACTGTTTATATTACATTTATATTTTACTCTATTATTACTATTATTATTACATTTAGATTATTTTACTCTATTATTATTATTATTATTATTATTATTATTATTATTATTATTAGAAACACAACAAGGTTTGTACACAGCAAACAAGATAACTATGCTGACTGTTGTATTGGATCATACGTCGGATGCTTCCCAAGTGTCTAGGACTGTGTGATGTATTGGTGAATAATGTGTGAAGATCCGAGTAAGGTGGCCTTTTGCAGCTGACAAATGGTAATTTTGTCAGCGCCGATTGTGTTTAAGTGCAGGCCAAGGTCTTTAGGCACTGCACCCAGTGTGCCGATCACCACTAGGAACATCTTTACTGGTTTGTGCCAGAGTCTTTGCAGTTCAATCTTTAAATCCTCATATTGTGTCAGCTTTTCCAGTTGTTTCTCTTTGATCCTGCTGTTGCCTGCGATTGCAACATCGACGATCCATACTTGGTTTTTTATCATCATCATCATCATCATCATCATCATCATCATCATTATTGGAAGGATATGTAAGCACATTTACAGTGAAGGTTAGAATAATGATTTAATCAGAGTTGGACAGTCTTATCTTGAATTACAGTTTTATGTAAATATTCAAAAACATGTAACCTACTGATGCTCAATTAATGTAATTTTATTATTTTATTTACCAGTAGCTGCTGCATACGTTTTCCCAGTTTTTTTGTGGTAAAATTAGATGCCTCGGCTTATACTCGAGTATATATGATACATCCCCCCCCCCTTTACCTGTTCAGCCATATTCTCCACGATGGCCAAGCGAGAACGCATCTCTTCACATTGATGCTTAGCCTGCGCCCAGGAAGTTTTCTGCAGGGAGAAGTAGTAACATTTTCCATTGCAGTACTCCCATTCTCTAGAGTTGGGACCACATGGGAACACTGGGCAAAGGAAAATAGATGTTAGTGCTTGAAGCAAGGTAAGCCTACAGAGCTGAAAAAATATAGAGTGATTGCCCCTCAAGTATACTTGGAAGTTATGACCTTCAGTTGTAGCTAGTCAACCAGATTCAGTATCTGTGAGCTAGGAATAATTCTTCCCAGCTAAATTTTAGGTCAGATCCTTAGGATCCCACCAGGGTGGATGTGCCTTGTGTCACAAACCCAGATCTAAACAGGGTCTGAAAATAGTGGACAAATGGAGCCCAAGTGTAGTTGTGGTGTATCTCTAACTTGGACTAACCAACTTGCATGCCTGGGATGTAGCTAAGCAGTGCAAAGCCTTATTTACTGCCTGTTTGCTGTCATGTGGCTGAGCAAGGCAGCTTAAGAGGAGCAGGAGGGAGGCTTAATTCTCCCAAGCTGTTGTGCTCAGTCACATGGCAACAACCAGGAAGTAAACAGGCAATAAATGGGGTAGGTGTTGTTTTTCCGTCTTTTGGAAGGGGAAAACAAAGGTGCTGAACTGTGTGGGAACTGGCCATATTCCTAACTGGCTTCGACATGACTGAGATGTGGGACTACTGTCCCATTGCTAAGGCATTTGAGAGTTCCATCGCCTAGCCATAATGCAGCCAGTTAGGAAGTTTTGAAAACTTGCAAATTAAATAACTGAGTACTGCCAGGTGCCCTTCCCTGCTTTAACTAGGCATAAATTGGAGAATCTAGTCCCAATGCCTTCTATGTTGACCATCAGAAACTTTTGGATATCTGCTGATGCTGAGTTGAATTTGTAGACTTGCATTCAGAATCATGTTCAGGCTTTTGTTTGGGGAGCTTCATTTTCAGGTCATTCAGGTCTGATGAAAGCGTTGTTCCTAAAATTGAGAAGGGAGGAAAGAAGGAAGTGTCAGAATTTTAGAGTAGAAATATAAATGAATAAATAACTTGTCACCTTCCTTTTTGGGACATAGCTTGAAAATAATAAATATAGATAAATGCATATATGAAAATATAAATAAATATACAAATATTAATTTGCAATGGAATTAAACTAGCAGTATAATTGATTTCATGTAGTCTGATGAGACATGAGCACTCTTTGGCAGAGAAGGCTAAAGACCTAGTAAAACTACCTGTAGAACTGACTGCTTCCACGTAAGCATTCAATATTTGTGTCGCAACTCAGGATAGATTCACCTTGCTCAAGACACCACCACACACCAAGGCTGTAGGTTTTGTAGCTTATTGAGAAAAAGCAAAATCAAAACAGAGAAATAAAGATGCGAAAGTTCAATAGGCAAAACAGAGTCTTAAATGCCAAGGCAAAGTTCCCAAAATCCAAAAGGCAAATAACATGAAGCATAGTCCTTTAGCATTGGTTAAACAAGAGTCCATGGCAGCAAGATAAGGTCTCCACAAATCAAGATCAAAATCAAAGTCCCCAAAAGCCAGAAGCTTTCCGCAAAATCCAAGGTATTTCCACAGAAGTTAACAGGGTATAAGCAACATTGGACTGACAAGGAATGCCCTTCGACCAGATCATTAAATATGTTCTCCCAACATGAAAGCATTATGTTGACCTCTAGCTTCACGTTTGTTGGCAAGGCGTGCGCTTCTGCGAACTCTTAATTGTAAACGGTCCTCTCTAATCAACTCTCCACTATCTTCAAGGCCGGAGAGCTCATTATCTTGGCCCTGCTGGGCCTGGTCACCCTGGGAACCAAGAGGCTCCGAGCTCCCAGAAGGAGCTTCTACCTGGAGCTGCGAAGTTTCACTATCTTTATCTAAAGCCACATTCCTTTCTCTGGGGAACAGAAATGCCGTCTCTTCTTCAGAATCAACAATGTCTGCTTCATCTGCCTCATTAACTGGAACATGTTCAGAAATCTGTAACCCATCATCCTCCTCGTCCTGAGGAAACTCAGGCTCAGAAAGCTCAGGCTCAGACTGAACCACAACAATTTGCCTTTTATGTTGTTTTGGTACAGCCGCACCAGGAGTTCCAGCTTATCTTGCTATTTGTTCGTTGCTGCATGTATTTTGAAGTTATATGCCTTTGCAGTTAGATGGCTCTCCTTATTTTGCAGTTATTGGGTCAATTGCTTGTCAATTATCCTTAGGTTCCCAAGTCCCGCCCTCTATTTGGGCTTTGGTAGGGAAGTGAGTCATTTTGTGTTTAGTTTCAGCCAGGTTAGCCAATGTATAGGATGTGTGTTGCTTCCCCTGTACAAAGGCTTCAGCCTTTAAGAATTCCAGGGTCACAGAAACTCTAACAGAATCTCCAGGGAAAGAATTTCTAGGGGAGAACAGCTTTAAGAGTCTCCTAAGAACTCCAGGGAAGCCTTCCACAGCCTTGAGAGTTTCCAGGAAGACAGTCTTAAGGTCTAAAGAACTCCAACTGAAGAACATCCATTGCCTTGCTGGTAGGTCCTCTCAGCGCTCGAGAAGCAGTTCGGCCTGGCAGTGGAACCCACACCAAGTGAGGGTTGGATTTTAGTCAGCCTTGGGAGAAGTTAAAAAGGGGAATTTTCCTTTAAAGAACGTTATTGAAGATAGTGCCTGTCCCCTGTGGGCAAGATTGAGAGAACTAATTCTTTATCAAGAAAGCTTTAAAGTACCTGTTTGATTCATTAATAAAAGACTTTGTTGTATTTTTCAAGCCACATGAAGATTCTTTTGAAGTGGAAACCTCTGAGAACTTCTTCTTAGGCCCCTGGCTTCCCACTGGGCAAAGGTTACATATCCTCTATTTCAAGCCAACCAAATACAGGCCCAGCGGCGACAGAACATATGTTGTTAGCCACTCCGAGTCCCGTATTAGGAGATAGCCTTACTAATAACTATGGATCTACTGTCATACCAGTCTGCAATTTAATTATTTGGATTCTTTTTCTTTAAACAGGCTCTCAGTAGGTGGGATCTATTTGAACTTAGTGTTTTTTAAAAAATGCTGCCCATGATTTTTCTTGATTTTTACTTAAGTAAGATGCCCAATGCCTTTTCAGATAGGGTTCTTTGATCCTTGCCAAGGATTTAGATTGAAGGTGCAGTCATTAAAAACAAGCGTATTAACGCAAACTAAATAATATTAAACAGAAGCAATGCATGGCCACTCTGCACACACAACCAAAGCCAAGAAATCCCTTTATTTGCAGATGAAAACTTTTGGATGCTAGGGAGAGAAAATATAAAAGTCACGTACCTTTGGAAAGAGCCACAATCATGAAGATAGTGCTCAGTAGTAAAGAGACAGCCAACATCACATAGACATGGAAGTTAGGCCTCTGGGTGTATTGAAGAAAATTATTTTCTTTAAAAATAAAAGAGGAAAGGTGAAAGAGACAGCAGCAAACCCCATCTGTTACCATTGGGAACCATGAAAATATCTTCAGGTTGATTGAAACACTAGTGCTATTCCAAATATACAGCCTCCAATTTTATTTCGTGTCAGGAGCGACTTGGGAAACTGCAAGTTGCTTCTGGTGTGAGAGAATTGGCCATCTGCAAGGACATTGCCCAGGAGATGCCAGGGTGTTTTTTGATGTTTTACTTTTCTTATGGGAGGCTTCTCTCATGTCGCCGCATGGGGAGCTGGAGCTGACAGAGGGAGCTCATCTGCGCTCTCCCTGGATTTGGACCTCCCACCTGTCAGTCTTCAATCCTGTTGGCACAAGGGTTTAACCCACTGCACCACTAGGGGCTCCTTCCACAATAAGTAAATGAATATAAAAGGAGCAAAGTACAATAGATAGTAGAATATAAATCATATGTGACTTCATGTTTCTATCTCTCCATCTTCTCTGACACTAACTACGTGATTCATACATTTTTATGCAGTTACTCAAACAATGCTCAAAATATGAATGACTTTGTTGTTGTTCTGTGCCTCCAAGCTGATATTCACTTATGGCAACCCCCTCCTAATGCTTTCCTAATTGGAAGTATTAAGAGGAATCCTGCCATTATGTTCTTCTAAGGTTGAGAGGGCATGGCTTGTTCAGGAGCACCCAGTAATTTCTGTTCTGCAGAGTCATACTCTCCATTGCTCAAACCACTTATACACATTGGCTTTTTGGACCTTATTCAGCGAGAAGTCTGGAGATCTGTATCAATTGAACCAAAGATAAACCAGCCCTTCTAGTGCCTGTTTTGAGCAAATTTTCTCCAGTGCACTTACTATGGCATTGACCATACACTACCATAGACCAGGTGCAACAGGAACACATACAGGAGAACCATAGGCTCTTGGACGAATCTCAATGGATTGTCCTTGACGAATGCACCGGGGATGTCGAGGAGGAGGACAACACTTTTCACCTACACAATTCACACCAACAGGATCACTTTTCTGGAGACCTACACACTACATTGCACAAAAGGGGCCCTGTCATTCCTGAAAGTAAACAGGTCTTGGTAGTAGGCGACTCCCTCCTTAGAGGAACGGAAGCTGTCATTTCCAGACCGGATGGGATGGCTCGAGAAATATGCTGCCTACCGGGGGCAAAAATACACCATATCACCCAGAGGCTCACCAGGCTCCTCAAGCCCTATCACCGTCCTCCCCTCATGTTGATTCATGTAGGAACCAATGATACTGCAAGGCATACGTTTCAAAAGATCACAAATGATTTTCGAGCTCTAGGAGCAAAGCTAAAAGAATGTAATGTACAGGTGGTCTTTTCATCCCTCCTCCTGTTGTAAGACACGGACCCACAAGAGCCAGAAAAATAGTACAGGTCAATAACTGGCTTAGAAAATGGTGTCAGGAGGAACGCTTTGGCTTCCTCGACCATGGCCTGCTTTTCCAGGAGGATGGCCTACTGGCAAGGGATGGGGTGCATCTCACACAAGTAGGAAAACACCTTTTTGCTCACAGACTCGCAAACCTCATTAGACGCACTTTAAACTAGGTCCACCGGGGGAGGGGGACAACAGCCTTGCGAACACTACTTTACCCATAATGTCTGGGAATCGCCAGAAGGCTAAACGGAGGGCTGCACAAACACAACAAGGACCAAGTACCAAAAGCACAATAATCCCAATTAAACAGCTCAAGGGAAGATCTCAGGGGCTCACATGTCTTTACACTAATGCACAGAGCATGGGAAATAAACAAGACGAACTCCAACTTTTAGCACAACACCACAAATATGATATCATAGGGATCACTGAAACCTGGTGGGATGACTCCTATCGCTGGAATGTAGATATCGAGGGGTATAACCTCTTTCACAGAAACCGAACAAAGGGGAGAGGAGGCGGAGTAGCCTTATATGTCAAAAACTCTTATGCTGCAGAAGAGATTCAAGACAGCAATCTGGGAAACCAGCTTGAAATCATCTGGATAAGAATCAAGGGAACTGGGACTCAAAAAGATGTCGTTGTAGGCGTCTACTACAGACCCCCAAGCCAGGAGGAAGAACTTGATGAAGTCTTCTGCCAACAGTTGACCAAACAGGCACAGAGAAGAGATGTAGTAGTCATGGGCGATTTCAACTATCCCGATATTTGCTGGAAAACAAACTCGGCCAAGAGTACAAGTTCCAACAAATTCCTCGCTTGCCTTGCAGACAATTTCATGGTCCAGAAGGTAGAAGAGGCAACAAGGGGATTGGCTACTCTTGATCTCATCCTAACAAATGCGGAGGACCTGATCGATGCGGTCGAAGTGGTAGGATCCTTAGGGGCAAGTGACCATGTGCTCCTGCAATTTGAGGTACAAAGGAAGGCCGAAACTAAGACAAGTCAAACCCGCATTTTGGACTTTAGGAGAGCTGATTTCCAAAAATGAAGGAAACGCTGAGCAGCATTCCGTGGACACAGATACTAAAAGACAAGGGAGTTACGGATAGATGGGAATTTCTCAAGAGTGAAATACTCAAGGCGCAATTGCAAACCGTGCCAACAAAGAGAAAAAATAGGACAAGTGCAAAGAAGCCAGAATGGATGTCCAAAGAACTTCTAACTGTGCTAAGACACAAAAGAGACATGCACAAGAAGTAGAAAAAGGGAGAAATCACCAAAGAAGAATTCAAACAATACACCACAATTCAAGAGAGATATTGACATGCTGGAATGTGTCCAGAGGAGGGCGACTAAAATGATCAAGGGTCTGGAGAACAAGCCCTATGAGGAGCGGCTTAAGGAGCTGGGCATGTTTAGCCTGAAGAAGAGAAGGCTGAGAGGATATATGATAGCCATGTATAAATATGTGAGAGGAAGCCACAGGGAGGAGGGAGCAAGCTTGTTTTCTGCTTCCTTGGAGACTAGGACGCGGAATAATGGCTTCAAACTACAAGAGAGGAGATTCCATCTGAACATGAGGAAGAACTTCCTGACTGTGAGAGCCGTTCAGCAGTGGAACTCTCTGCCCCGGAGTGTGGTGGAGGCTCCTTCTTTGGAAGCTTTTAAACAGAGGCTGGATGGCCATCTGTCAGGGGTGCTTTGAATGCAAGATTCCTGCTTCTTGGCAGGGGGTTGGACTGGATGGCCCATGAGGTCTCTTCCAACTCTTTGATTCTATGATTCTATGATTCTAGTGCAGCCCTTGTCATCCAACTAGGTAAGCTTGACTTATGTGATACCAGAGAATTTCTGTGGTTAGTTTTCTTAAGGCTCTTGTTGTGCATGTAGGTCATTACCCATTTGTGCCATAGTTGCTGCCTGGTTGATCTGTAAGGAAGGACTAGGATAGTCAAGGATACAGTTCCAAAAGTGAGAACCAAAGAAGGCCTAAATTTGAATTATTTATTTATTTAATTTATTTACTGCATTGATATACTGCTTTTCTCACCCCTGAGGGGACTCAAAGCCATTTCCAAGATAATAATGGCAAAATTCAATGCCGTACATACATGTGAAAACATAATTTCTAGACAATAACATATACTATAATTAAGAACCTTAACCATATTACACATATCAGCATAAAACAACATATACATTAAAATCGAATCATTAAAACAAATCAATTAAAATAGTTATTTAAAAATGTGCATATACTAGGTACGTTTTTAGAAATTGTTATTACAGTTTAAATAGGAATGTAATGTGTCCCAATATAGCCGGAAGGACTGTGGCCAAATGATTGGCATAACTGTACGTTCTATTGTCTAGGACCTATATGTGGATGGATAATTTCAGGGCTTCTATTCATCTTTAACCAATGTGGACCAGTCTTTTTTTCACCCAGAAACATTGCATTGATAGATTAATGTTCCATGTAAAGATACACACTTACCATTTGATTGACTGATTCCATTCTCTCTATTATCTCGTTTTCAAAATTAAAACAAATTTAAAATGATTGTTTGTCTATGTGTACAAAGAGATGTGTCCCTCTAAAGTTAATTCACAAATACCTAAAACCTTCAGCTACTAAGAATGAGACAATTATTTTTACCTTTATTAGTTTGGAAGTCATCTTGAAACTTTTCATCCTCCATCTTGTGGGGAGGGGAGAATGAGGGGCAATTGCCTGTAGAAGTCCTTTCTTGCAGATGTTGATTTTATAAAACAGGGATTTTGCGGTTTACCTTCTCTGTTCCACGAGAATGGTTAATCTATAACTTGAAAAGGGGGACAAGCTTCATCCCTTCTCCTCTGCCTTCAGGCCACCAGGCTTTTGAACTATGGTTCAAAGGGAATTCTTGGGAAATCTGGCAATGACTTTTTTGCTTGTGCAAAAATTTCATTGGCCAGAAACCATAAAGTAAGCAGCAGTAAGCAGTATTACATATGTATCCCCTATATCTCTGTCATAATTTTAGAGAATCATGACACTTTAGAGTTGGAAGCAGATGTAAGGGCTTTCTTGTCCAAGTCCCCAAGTTACAAACAACCAACTTGCATATGACTTATAGTTAAGAAAGGGGCCGGTGTGTGTGTGTGTGTGAGAGAGAGAGAGAGAGAGAGAGAGATCTACTCCTAGAAAGGGAAATTCACTCCTGGAAGAGTTATCTTTGGAAAAAGATGTCTTGACAGAAGCTTTATAACTAATAGTTGTTTCTGCAACAAGTCAAAATTGTCAAAATCCAGTTATGACAGGGACAGAAAGTGAGGTGAAATCTTGAACAGAGACAAAAGAAATTCTATAGGGGTGTTAACTCTTCCCTATGGTATCCAAAACTAAAAGATATATACACTTGACTGGAGATACACTTTAAAAATGTACTTGTTCCAACTTACATACAAATTTAACAAGAACAAACCCACAGAACCTTTTTTGTAACATGGGGACTACCTGTATACCCAAATGGCCATTATCCAACTTCTGCCAACAGACCTTCAAAGAAGGAGGTCATGGTTTCTAATCTCACTTGCCTTTTCCAACTATGGGAAGAAGCCCTTGAACATTTCACTCCTTGAGCATGCTTGTTGCCTGTTATACCATTTCCAGCTGTGCCATCTCTTTGCCCAGTCGCTGGTTGTCAGTACAGAGTGGTACACACAGCACTGGGTGAAATTGTTAAAAGCCCAATAGGGCATATGTATGCAAAACCGTAAATGGCACGATACTAAGATATTCTAAAGAGGCCACTTTTTCCTGAACTGGAACATTATTGGTATTTCTAACGTCCTCCCTGCTTTCAGCAACATAGTCAGAAATGATATTACACCAGTGTTGTTGCCTCTATTTCATTTGGCTTTTGTCTGGTTTTAAATTTTTTTATTAATTTTGTTTGTTAAATCATTTGGATACTCTTTTAAGAACCAAAAGGCAATAAGGACTTATAGGTAATTATTTAGCTCCTAGCTAGTATAGCGGAACCTAAGTTGCACGCTGTTGCATTATAATGGTCAAAACTTTTTAAAGTCTTGATGAACAATTATAATATCAATTCCTATCTTCAGTTCCCCATTATTCCCAATTATGCATTCATGTAACAAAATTGGGTTTTCACCATCCTAAAACTTGCTTATTTATTGAATTGATGGATGGATAGATATTTATATTTATATTTTTTCTTTCTCCTCCGATGGGAGTCAAAGCAACAAACAATTATTTTAAATGGAAATTAGCTAAATGTTTAATTCCAAAGATGTAGTTTAACTATACAATTAAAAGTAGATAATCAAATTAGTTTAAAATATATTGTAAATATAGTAAAGCATACCATAATTTAAAACATAACGTAAGATGCAAAAGTTAGGAAGCAGGAACTTCTGAAGGAGTTATCTTTTTAATAGTGGAACTGGATCAACTTCTTAGGTGAAAGGTTATAAAACAATACCTATTCCATCATAGACTTCCTTGAACAACAGTTTCCTCTTGATTGTAGTCTTGAATCATTGCTTCTTATTTGGTTCAGATTTCTGCCTTGGTCCTGGACTAGCTATATAATTCTTTGCTAATTTTCTCCTCAGAGGAAGCAAAGAGTAATTTCAACAATTTTCTTCCCATTTCAAGAACTGCTCCAGAATGTGCAGTTTTTGAAGATAATTCGTAGCTTGGGACTTATACTGTGCAAAATTCACATATAGTGTTTTGGTGTGGAAAATGACATTTTCTAGAATATATTATTTTTTTGTACAAAACATCTACATGAGAACATTGTATAGAATCAGTCCTGAACTGCAAAGACTCTGATCAGTTCTTTTCCCTAGGGTTTCACAATGCTTGAGAAAACCCATTTTATTATTATTATCTTTTCTAACACATTTTCTACCCTATTCCTTGACCCTGGGTGACCTATGACATTTGGGTGGTGGGGCGAAATGCCAGCCACCCCCCAAGCTGAGAATGAAATTGAAAGGCCCACAAAACACCTTTTCTGCCTCTGGCATGAAAACTCAACAATGACAAAGAAGTCATTTTTGTAAAAAAAGAAAAAAAAACCCAAACCAAACCAAACAAAACCAAAAACAAGCCTGTCTCAGCTGGCTGCTTCATCACACTAAACATAGTATGGATCCTTGCCTTTTATTTTCTCATTCATTTCAGACTTTTGCCTTGTTCTGTGGCCCACCTGAGTAGGAAGTATGTTGCCAAGACTCCTGTCCACAAAACTTGGCACTTTATGATGTCACAAAGTGGAACTCAGTGATCTCATGGGGTTGCCAGCTTTTGTAAGTCAAAACATTTTTATACATGAAATAGGAGTAAAGTGAGAAGGCTTGAGGAATAAAGGAGAAGAGGGGAAAAACTGAAGAAAAACACCCCCTTGCATTTTGGAGATGACAGATAAGTTTCTTTTCCAAAGTTATCCCCTTTCAGTCCGCAAAATGCAGGGGGGGGGGGTATTCTCTTCCTAGGAATCACTGTCTTCTAAGTTATTGACAATGTAACTGGAGTACTTATGGTGGTCTGCCGTGATACATGCCTGAACTTATCATTGAAACAAGAAACCGAATGAATTTTGTCAGAAGTTACCATAAAAATAAACTGGAGGACATAAACAAAATCTAGAGAATGCTTATTTTGTTGTATGCAGATAATTTGAAACTATGGGTACCTGTTCTGTGGATACAGGATCATAGTATATTGCAAATAAGAATGTAGGGCTTGAACTAGTCAATAAAACAGAGGTTGAAGAGAGCACTGTCCTTGGAAAACAAGGCTATCTATCCATCCAAACAGCAAGCCACTATTTCTGCCTAATGCTTTGCATAGAAACTGTTGGTTCAATATCTACTTGCCACAGATAGGCATGTGTAAGCTAATCTAGCACATATATAAGAAGCCAATAAGTGTGATGTGATGTGCATGTCTGTTCCTCTCTGTATCCGTATATGGCAGCCTACCTGCTGACCTTGACATTCGGGTGGTACTTTCAGATCCTTAACATGAAATCAGGTTATCAGGGCCAGTATCAGAGGCCTTGTAAACTCGAAAGCATCTAATTTCCATCATAGTAGTGTAACAGCTTAGAAGCAGTCTGTAACTTGACACGAAAGGCCAAAGCCTTATTTTTATATAAGCAGTTGTACTGAAAGACTCCTATCTTTCTCAATAGCAGGAAGCTGCAGGAGATAGTGTGGAGCAGGGTTGTTCCAGGACTATATGGTTTCATTTGTTTCTTAACACTTTGTGCCATATCTTTTCAGATTGTAAGCCTGCAGGCAAGGACTATCTCCACCACACCCATTTTAAACTGATTGCATATAAACTGCCCCAAGAGCTTTTTGGCAACATGTTCAGTCAGGATTTCTTACTGTCTCTGATGTGAGAGGTACTAGCACGGACTATCTCAAAGTCTCTTGACTGCAACTCATATTTCTTTCACATCAAAACCACAAGGGAGGAAGAATGGCTGTAAATTAGTTTTGCCACATAAGCCACATCCCGAACCCTGTTTATTCATTCCATTTGCACTGGAGAAATTCTCCCCTTTCAGTTCTTAGAAATGCACATTTGTGTAGCTGTTAATATCTGTAACAATTCCTTCTGCATCTTGTGATTCTAGTGAGCCCTTTTACACAATGCTGTTAATGGAACTAATGGCAAAACATAATGTTTTATTTTTGGTTATTTCTGAACAAAAATCTGAATTTTCTTATTAACAAACATGATGAAAACACATGAGAAACATCTGCTTGCTTTGTATCTCCTGCATTTAGCAGTAACTCTTGGGTAGGTCTAAGGCCTATTATTTTTAGGTGCTTCTGCAAAGAGGGTGGCAGGTACTCAAGCCCTCTTGGGAGCAGATGTAGACTTGGTTGGCAAAGTCTTCTCGCAGACATAGTAGCTATTGGAATTGCAGGTGAAATCATTCCATTCCCCGTTGATCCAAAGTTGACCACAGTCTTCATCGCGGTTTAAATAAGTGTTGGGTTCCCCTGTCTTCCAGTTCCTGTGATGAGAACAAGATGCTGAATGTCTTCCAAAAACAAATACTGCCCATTGAGAATTCACAAAAAACATTTCTGCACTTGTCATAAAACCATGAATATAGGTATACTGGTTGTTGTGGTTCTCATTTTTTTTAATGTGAGAGAATACTTCTCCAGATATTTGCAGGTTCTCCAGCATGATTCTCAGGTCAACGTCCCTCAGAGGTTGACCATAGAATTGCTCTGGAGGACCTATGAATCCAGTAAACATATTTTTGAGATGCAGCAATGGAGGCAGCAGTGACAAATACAGCAATCTACGAATAATCATATGCAAAGAATCAGAGAATGCTTTGCCAGAAGGAGGGACATGGTTATATAAGAATGTTTTTGATCCAAGAGACAGCCGGTCACTGCAATGGGATGAGTGGGAGGAGGGAATAATAGAATAGGGAACAATTACCGTATGGAAATTAGAAGGTATTGTTCAAAAGTGTATGTGTGTATGTGTGCATGCAGTTTTTTAATTGTAGTTTTGTCAACTATTCTAATTTTAAATCAAAATACTTTGAAATATTCGCAAATGCATAACCCGCAAAAGAGGAAGGACAATTAACTGTGCGCAGTAACGTTTGTATTTTGTATATTTTATGTTTTTTGTACATTGCTTTCAAAATTTTGGAGCTAGGGAGGAAAATGATTTTCCTGTCCAAACAGACAATTTTTGGGGGGTATTTTTCAACTGTATGCATTTTGTCATTGTTTAAACACATCACTTTTAAAACTTTTTAAAAAGTAATTTTAATTAACTTTCATTAATAAGTAGCAAGCTATATTGAGTCTTCTGCTTTGTGGAGGAAGGTTTTTAAAATCTGGATGAAATGTTTAATGGTAGAAAGGTGTGGAATGGAGCAATGAAAGAAGGGGTTTAAAATCCGAATGAAACTGTGCTAGAAAGGTAGGAAAGGGAGAGACAAGCAAAGGGGTTTATAATGTGAATGAGGTGCTTAATGGTTTGAGTCTGAGAACAGGGAGGAAGACCAGATTTAAATACTCTAAACAAACAAATAAACAAATACTGTATCAAACATGTTGTTAGCTGCTTTGAGTCTCATTGAAATAAAGGCAAAATATAATTCCAAAGTTGAACGTTTCCCCCAAATGGATTTGTGTCTGTGTGTACAGATCTCATTGCAAGCCAGGAATTGATAGATTAATAGTGGACTCTGCAAAGTTCATCTAAGTCCCAAATATCTTAGAGGCACCAGAGTCCATCTGATCTTGGAAGCTAGGCAGGGTCATCTCTAGGTTAGTACTTTGATGGGGGGCTACGAGTGAGTACCAGGCGTGAAAGGCTATATTTCAGAGGAAGGAACTGGCGAATCCACTTCTGAGTATTCATTGACCAAGAAAACCCTATGAAATTCATTGTGTTTTTCTAAGCTGACAGATGGCTTGAAGGTGTGCTCATGCACGCATGTGCACATACACACAGATAAACACACACTCACACTGTAAAGAGCAAGCTTGGCATTCTCACTCAGTTAATTTATCCCTCGTGGTCAGAAAAGGTTTTTCTGCCTGGTACATACAAGACTTGTGCATTCGGGACTTACCTTGATCCGTTTCGAGTTCAGCTTTCAGTGGGCCCCCCTATCTGGTTTCATCTGAATCTCCCGAAATCAGGTCGTCTGATATTTTTAGGTGGGGGGACTTCAATCATAGGTTCAATGCACCTGGGCCTACGGGTGCAGGCTTTGGGCCTATGTACCCGGGTCTGGCAGGGCCTGCAGCCTAATGCTGTGTGAGGAGCACTCCTTACTTGACGTTCGGCTGCAGGCCCTGCCAGGCTCGGGCATGTAGGCCTAAAGGCTGAACCCGTGGACACTTTGGGCCTATAGGTGCAGGTTTACCGGCCTACACACCCAGGCCTGCAGGACCTGCAGCCAAATGTTGACTAAGGGGTTCTCCTTACTTGGTGCTTGGCTGCAGGCCCTGCCAGACCCAGATGCATAGGGCCAAATCACTGGGGTGCCTGCAGCTGAGTGTTGAGTAAGGAGCACTCCTTACTTGGTGCTCAGCTCCAGGCCCTGCCAGGCCCCATGCAATCCATTTCATATCAATTGCATTTTTATTTCAGGAAGGACCTTTCTGTTTCATGCCATCCAAATGGATGGAACAAAACAGAAACACGAATGAAATGAGTGGGACAAATTTCAGACCCATGACTAGTACTTACTTGAAACCTGTGATATAATTACTGCCATCCAGCCATTTCCACACTCCTTCTGTGTGTAGGTCATGGAGTCCGATCCAAAACCGCTCATTCCTGGTTCGAGTCTCTAGGAAATTCTGCAAGAAAGGAATTTTGACTTCTGTGGTTACATAGAGAATGGAAGGAGGGGAATATTATCTTTGACTTATTAAAAGAAAATAAAGAATATGGATGAAATTTATCCACTCTGTATAATAGCAAACTCAAGGGCAAGTGACAATACAATCTGAGCCAAAATGAGGCTAATGAAAAACAACGGGGAGGCAGCAGTCTCATGTACCCCTGTAAAGGGTATATTCCCAAAATTAAATTTCTTCATTATACAGGAGTGAGCAACACTGGCAGGATCAAAGGCAAATATGTAATATTTGGGATTCCCCAAGGCTACGAAGGAATGTCAGTAATGCAGTCTGAGAATCAGTAATACAGGTTCGGAATCTGTATTTCGGGGGGTGGGGGGTGGGGTTGCATTTTAGAATACTTGCATATTCATAATGAAATGCCTTAGATATTGGATCCAGGCCTTTACATGAAATTAATTTATGTTTTAAATATACAGGCAGTCCACGAGTTACAAACATCTGATTTACAAATGACTCGTAGTTAAGAACGGGGTGAGACAACAAGAAGGGAGAAAAATCTATCCCTCAGAAGGGAAATTCACTCCTGGAAGGGTTACCATAGGGAAAAAGGTGTCTCCACTGAAGCTTTCTTGCCAATCCTTGTTTCCACAGTCAGCCAACTTTTTCAAAATCCAATTAACACAGGGACAGAAAGTGAGGTGAAGTCTTCTAAACAGAGGCATAGGCAGTAAAGCAAACACCACAGGGGTGTTAACCCTTCCTCATGCTATCCATTTGCTATATATGCTATATGTTTTTGGCTGGAGTTATACTTAAAATGGATTACTGCAATGTGCTCTACGTGGGGCTGCCTCTGAAGAGCGCTTGGAAACTTCAGTTGATCCAAAGATCTGCAACCAGGTTGCTCACTTGGGCTGGTTGCAGAGAGCGGACAACCCCCATTGCAGCAGCTCTACTGAGTGCCAGTCTGTTTCCAGGCACAATTCAAAGTACTGGTTATGATTTTTAAAGCCCTAGACGGGTCAGGTCCAGGCCATTTGGCCGATCTCATCCCCTGCCCAGGCCTCTTCAGTTACAACGCTGGAGGGCTTCCCAGTTCTCAGTGTTTATTCCACATTTTAAGGTTAATTTAAGTCATTTGTTTAATCTCTTTTGCTGTCCACTATTTGTTTTATGTTATTGAGCTGAGAGAAAAGTAACTGCTTTGGGTGACAGTGATAGGACATTTGGACAACATGGCCAGTCTAGTGAAGTTGGTGATGGAAGAGTATCAATGCTGTAACTGGAGGTCAGCTGTTACCAAAAGTGCTGTGGATTTTGAAGAGGCATGAATAAAGGGGAAAACAGAGAAATGTGCACATCAAGTAAATTGTCATCAGGACTTCTTTCCATCTGGAAATATATATTCTCAGTGTGAAAGATCATGCGGATCCAGAATAGGTCTCTAGTCATTTATGGACCCACCACCAAGACTACTTCTGGAAGACAATCACACTTGGCTATAAGGGATCACCTATGATTACATATACATCTCTTTGATTATTAAATCATGTACTCCCCTTTGCTTAAAAGGCCATAAGCATTTTGTTGTCTTCTTACCTGTTTTGCTAGGCTATCAACGATGACCAATTGAGACTGTTGCCTTTCACAATCCGCTTTTGCTTGATGCCAGGGAACTGCCTGTAGGGAAAAGTAGTAGCATTTCCCAGAGAAATATTCCCATTGCCTGGTGTTGGCGCCACATGGAAAAACTGAGCAAAGGAAAAGAGTCTGAATTGATATTGAGCAAAACTTTATGAGAAACAAAGAAGTCTAACATACTAAGAGGATAGTGATTGGGGTTGGCAAGGAGTATCATTTGGGTGGACTAGTTTATGGAAATCGTTACATGTTTTGAACAAAAACTTCCTAAATCTGCGAGCCAGTTGAATATGCCCCTATAAAACATTTTCCTAAGCCCACGTGTAGACAAAAGCTGCAAAAGCCCTTGTGGTGTGTCCTGAAGCTGGTCCCCTCACTTCCGATCGCTTGAAAAGTACTTCTCCTGAAATTGATTTGAAAGTTACAGGAAAGAAACCAAAATATGTCAGGTGGAGGTGGGAGGAAGAGGAGGAGGGAACAGCCCCTGTAAAGGAGTTGGTAGAAACTTACGGTGGAAGTCATTGCCAAAGGGATCCTTTGCAAGATCATCTTTAACCTTCCTGAGTTCTGATGAAACTGCTGCTACTGGAATTGTAGAAGCGAGGAAAAGAAGCTTGCGTCAGAATGTTCCTTTCACCGACTATTTTCCTGCAAATTTGGCTCTCTCGTTTATGAGTGGGACCATTTTTTTTAAAATGTCCCTTTCTTCTCATTTTGTTTTTGACTGTTCAGTTGCCAAAATTTCTTTATGCATAAAAAGGAAACATTTGGCATGTGAACAGAATTTGAACAAAATATTCCTGGGTTTACTTATTTATTTATTTATTTATTTCCCCATCATCTGAACTGTTAAACCTTTCCCCTTTTATCTTCCAGATTACAGTAACCAACTATTTGCTTTTTTTTAAACATAAGGAATGTTGACAACTGACTTGGAGGCTTCACAGATCATCATTAGGTAAATTTATATCTTGCCTTTCCTATTGTTGTTCAGCCCTAAGGCAACCCTATCATTGTTTTTTTCTTGGCAAGATTTGTTCAGAGAAGGTTGTTTTTGCCTTCCTCTGAGACTGAGAAAATGTGTCTTGCCCAATGCCCCCCAATGAATTTTCATAGCTGCGCAGATAATTTAATCCTGGTTTCCAGAGTTGTAATCCAAAGCTAAAATCATTACATCATGCTGCTTACAAGTCTTTGCTGTACTGTACATATCCGACCCCCCATCTAGTAACAACCCTGTGAAGTAGATCAGCAGAGAGTTCTGTTTGTCTAGTGAACAAAAACTGTCAGCTTCAGCCTTGATGGAAAACAGGGTTCTTAATGGCTAGTCATGATGTTGGATATTTACATATATCCTCCAGGGGCTGGATAACAGAGTGGGAAGATGCTTTTGTGTTTGACTTGCCTCTGGGTCTCCCATGGATACATCTGGTTGGCTACTGTAGGAAAAAGAAAACTGGACAAGATTGTTCTCTGATCTGGGGACCTATTCACACCACACAGTTACAGAAATATGGTTTCAGTGTAATTGCCATGGTTCCATTCTATGCAATCCTGGGATTTGTAGTTTGGTCAGAAGCACTAGGGAAGCACTCCTCCCTCCCCCTCCTTTCTCTCCCCTCCTTCCTCTGAGGATTTTAAAGGCCCCCCTCTCAACATCTAATCCCAGAATCCCATGAAATGTTGCCATGGCAATTAAAGTGGAATGATACTGCCGGAATTATGTAGTGTAACAGCGTCCTGGGATTTTCTTATGTTCTCTTATGGGGCAATTGTTTTTTCCATTCAGATGAGAGAATGGAAAATGCTTTGTTCCCATCTGCACAGGCATCCCTCCATATTTGCCTTTTTGACTTCTGCAGATTTGATTTAAAATGTTCCCTCTAGGAATTGCTAGATTCTCCACTGCAATTATATGGTCAACTTATTTTAGCTATGCTGGGGGACCTAGAGATTTCTAGAGAGAACAACTTTCTAGGAATCCCTAGGTCCTCCAATGTGGTTCTATGGAACTTGCTAGAAGACCTAAAAATCTCCAGGGAGGTGTTCTCTCATTCAAAAAATAGCAATTTCATTATTTGTGGTTTTTCACTTTGGTGGTGACACTGTGTCCCTAATCCCAGCAAAGTTTCTTCTACAAATGAAAATCTATCAGTTTATATTATAATAGGGTAGGAGGAGACATACCTTTTGAAAGAGCCACTGCTAAGCCAATGACAACCAGAAAGTAAGAGACACCCAGCAGTACGTAGGTTGGGCATAATGGCCTTTGAATAAGAGTTTTCCCTTTGAAAGAAAGGAGAGAATGAGATGATAAATCCTCCACCACCATTGTTTTTAGTAACTATGGAAACTTGCAGAAGACTATGGACACATGCTCAGAGCTGAGGTTGTCCACTGGAAACTCTTAGACTCCCTCCTCCTTACAGAGTGGGGATTCTGGATGTTATAGTCCAAATACGGAATTTTTAAAGCTCGTCATATAACATCAGGAAGCCATCAGGATCCATAAGCCTCCTGGGGCGGACCATCTTAATGGGTCCTCCACCCTGCAGAGGTTAGAGGATGCAGTGAGTCTAAACCTGAGCAGGTGATGGTCAGTCCATGGCAACGGAGTGATAGTCAGCTCCTCCACGCCTCCACCATTCTCCCATCCCTGACAGAAAACCAAATCTAAGGTGTGGCCAGCACAGTGGGAAGGGCCAAATACCCCTTCAGCTATCCCCACTGCAGTTATAGATTACTACTGGGGTTTCTTTTCCCCTTAGCTCATGGGCTAATGAGGTAATTATTAATTTAAACAGGTCCAATTGACTCTCTAAACACACAAGCTGAAGACCTAAACCACTGGGTTCGGTTTCTCCACACACCAGAACCCAACTTCCACTTTGGTCCGCTGACCAAAAGAAACTGACTTTTTCAAATGCCCGGCCCTGCCAAGTGGCAGTTAGCTCCGCCCCTTTGGCTTCTCTAACTTGGATACATTCCAACAGCCGGCTCCGTCGCTACGGCAACACATTCCCTAAGGCAATCACAGCAAATGTTGACCTGCACCTATCATATCCCAACATCAATACACACATTTAAAACATACATTATAATTAGCTATTTTGTTACAGATGCATATGTTAAGGAAACAATCCAAAGAATTTTGTAACTGAACATTCAACTTTTACCAGAGATATTTTTGTTGGGATTAGCAAATAATGTCACAAATAAGAAAAGTACAGTTTTCTTTCAAAATGCTATAACAGTTGCTCGAATATTTTATGCCAGACTCTGAAAAGAGTTATTTCATCTGTAAGTGAATGGTTGAGCAAACTACTAAACTTTGCAGAATTTGATAAATGAACTTGTCTTGTAGTAGAGTCTACTGGCAACGATACTACTACTAGTGGGAGTAGTAGAGGAGGGAAACGAGGTGCTCAGGTGTTAGAAGAACAACAACAAAGGAAGCGTATCTGGGAGATACTTATATCTTCCACAGACGAAGACTCCTTCGAAGGTTTTTCAGAGAGTGAAATGTGTGAGGAGGAGGAGGAAGATGGGAGTAGAGGTGTCAAATGGATTACTCGGGAGCAGGAATCAGACGAGGAACGTCAAAGGAAAAGGATCCAGGATTTTCTTAGTGCTCCCACTGAAGATGAGGATTTTATGGGCTTTACTGGAAGTAATGGGTCTGGAAGTAGTGAGGAGGAAGAGGAACCATTGGATTGGACTCAAGTGCAAGAAGTCAGGAATGTGTGCATGCAACCCACATCCAGTGTTTGAGGGTTTTTCTGGGGATTGGCAGTCTGGAGATAACGGGGATTCATGGGGAGACTTAAGTCTTGACAAGAGGTGGAAGAGTTGGAGAGATGGGTGTTGGAGCTCAGCTGTAATGGGTAAGACAGCTGATAGCAATTAGGAAAGGGTGGAGGGCAGCTCATCAGCAGATGATGAGTTGTAGGATAAATGAAGGCACTGAAAGTATAGAACTTTGCAGTAGGCAAAGTGTTGGTTATGTGCCTTGGATTTTGTTGCTGCCACTTCTCTTGTTGGGCTTGGGTCCTGGAATTGCAGGTTGCTGTATTCTTCATGTGCTGACCGGCTTGGACTCTCATAAGTGTGGATTTCCCCTCTCCTTGACCACGGCCTGTTTACTGACGCCGCTGCTGCCTTTTGGACTTTAATATCTTCAACTGGGACTTCTTCGACCTTGGACTGCTTTTGGACGATGGCTTCTCTTCACAGCGTTTTGTTTTGTTTATCTTTGAACTGTGTGATTTTGGTGCATTTTGCTAGAACTCTTATTTAATCCAGATTATTTGCCAGTTTAATCCAATTTATTTCCTTAGTTCGTTTTTCAAGCTCTAAAGCTGCAAACTTTGAGTTTTGGCCAGAGACACTGAAGGAAGTGTCTCTGAGTTTTGTTTACTTTGACTTAATAAACTGTTGATTTGTTTACATTATTGTGTCTGGCTCTTTAAGGCATCTGAGTTTTGACATGTCTCCTTACAAAATAAAACAATACAATGTTTTCAAAATAATTTGAAGCCTTTCGCATAATATATAGGTAAAATATTTTAAGACTGGACCATAATGGTGTTGAGTGACTAAAAATACATTAACAGAAAGAAGAGCAAGGTTATGATAAATGTTATAGGATTAGGTCATCTTTGTGTACTTTACATAAATAATACATATATACATTTATAAATATATATTGCTTCTTAAGAGCTTTGATAAGACAAAATATTGTAAAACTCTATCCTGTTGTAGGGTCGGGAAGTTTTCTTTCAAATAGGATACACATGTTTTGCTATTATTAGAACATGTAAAATTACTACTGTTAATTAGTGGCTTTATATACCAATAATTATGTTATAATGTGTACACTTTGTTAATAAAAATAAAAACAAAAACTTATTATTGTTTAGATTTCCCAATAGCCAATGTTACCCACTCCAGCTGTTCACCCGGTCCAAACCGGACCCATTATATATATTTTCCCACATAGACACTTTTTAGACATGGTATCGCTTTTGTGGAGTTACAATGCTTTGAAAAAAAATGTTCAGAAATTCCTGGACTCAGAAGGTAACCAGGGAAGATGTGCTAAAGAGTTGAACTGATGGTGGTGATGTTTTTATTGTACTTATATTTTAATGTACAATGATGATGCATTGTGCTGTTTTGTATATTACTGTATATGAACACATGTTGTGAATGGTCTGAGTCCCTCCTCGGAGGTGAGAAGACCGGTATATAAAACTTCCAAAAATAAATAAATAAATAAATTGAGACTGTGAAATCTGAGAGATCACTAGAATATTGCATATGTATCTTGCACTTTTCCACCAGCCCCTGTCTTGAAACTATATTGCACAAGCTCCTACCTTCCGAGTTCAGTGTTTATTACTGTTCAGGCTATTGGTTGTTTTATTAAGTTGTTTGATGTTATTATGATGTTGTTTTATTTCATTGTGTTGTGTTTTTAATCTATGTCTGTTCGGCTTGTCCCTGTGTAAGCCGCCCCGAGTCCCTTTGGGGAGATGGAGGCAGGGTACAAAAATAAAGAAGTTGTTATTATTATTACATGTAATGAAAAACAGGGAGAAAGGTGAATACAGCTGCTTACAGCTGGTTATTCTAGGTTAAACAAAATGAGGAAAGAAGTGTAGTGAAAGGTCTTGGTTTCAAAAGCCTTATAGTCCATCCTCCAGGAAATAAAGCCCGACTGCTCACTAGAGGGAAAGATACTAGAGACAAAGTTGAAGTACTTTGGCCACATCATGAGGAGACAGGAAAGCCTAGAGAAGACAATGATGCTGGTGAAAGTGGAAGGCAAAAGGAAGAGGGGCCGACCAAGGGCAAGATGGATGGATGGCATCCTTGAAGTGACTGGACTGACCTTGAGCGAGCTGGGGGTGGTAACGGCCGACAGGGAGCTCTGGCGTGGGCTGGTCCATGAGGTCACGAAGAGTCGGAGACGACTGAATGAATGAACAACAACAACAACATAGTTTGATTTGCATGGAATACAGTATCATTATCTCTAAAGAGGAATCTGGGGAAGACGAGGAGGAATGGGTACACTGATTTGTTAAATGAGTAATCACTAAAGCTGATCACACACTTCTACATATTTACCAAATAATTTGAGTCCTGATTCCAGTTTTTTTCAAATATTCAAGGTATCTTGTGGTATGTACATACACAGAAAAAGACCAATAATGAAGACTGTAAACAAAATACACAATAGCTATTAAGCATAATAGATAAAAGAAGATTTCATTACATCAAACCAATTTTTCAGATAATGGAGAATAAAAGACATCACTGAAAAGGCCACTGTGTAGGCACCAGGCAAACTGCACCTTTGGTTGCTACAACTGTGATCCAGAAAAGAACCACCACAGCTAATTTCTTTTAAAAGGCAGCTGGTGGGGAATGGGATTTTTCAGCTAAAATTTGCACGATCTTTTTGTGAGACACAAAATATTAACTACAAATAGAAAAGTTTTACCTTGGAAAGACCGAAACCCATCTGGAAATCTTTCTCCGTCCATTTTGAAAAGGTGTGTGCTGGAAGGGGCTGTTTTTTGTGCTGTTTTGAAACACTTTCTAAAGCAAGGATTTTGTAATTTCTGTGGGATGCTTTATCTAAAAGATTACTTATTAATTGGGGAAGATCCAGACCTCATCCCTAATTTTCTAATATAATTCAGACCACTGTTTCCTGCAATATACCCAGTTTTAAAAGCTCCTCCCATGGCAGATACTGTTATCTTCTCTAGGCTTTTGTAATGGATGCAGGATATAAATAAAATGAGTAAGAATGCATTTTAAGGGCATTTCATGTTTGATGAATCAGACTCTAGTACAACCTTGCAATTGTATAACAGGAACTGATCAGGACCTTCTTAATTTTCAAAAAGTCCTTGTTCTCCTACAACTAGTTTAGAAAAGGAGAAGTAGGGATTCCAAAGGAGATATTAAGGTGCATCTACATTGTAGAATTAATACAGTTTGACACTATTTTAACTGCCATAACTCAAAGCTATGGAATCCTTGTAGCTTGATGAGGCACCAGCACTCCTTCACAGAGAAAGCTGAAGATCTTCTAAAACCTAAAGCTCCCATGATTGCCAGAAATAGATGCTCAATAATAAGGAAGAGATTATTTTTGTCCCTTTATTATATAGATAGGAAGAAAAGGCAAAACGTGGAGATTTCAAAACTCAGAGGAGACGTGACATTTTCCCTCTGCCAGTCTCCTGGCAATTGGCAGCTAACAACAACAGAATCAAAATCAATAGCTGTTGTTGGTTTAGGCTACATGTAAACATTGCAATATGTTCTAAACTGGAGGACAGTGAAGGGTGGCAATTCTCTGAATGATGTGGCAATTTAATTTTGCAGAAGGCAGGGATTTTTGGGGGTTTTATGGCATGGGTATCAATAATTTTCATTGATTTAAAAACATTTTCATTGATTTAAAAATCAGATATTTTACATAAAAAATATTTCCTGGCAAGACTTAAAAGAAATTCAAACAATCCTGGGGATAAGATTGGGGGGAAAGAAGCTTAAATACTTGAGAGTTTATATTTAAAAAATAATATAATACAAATAAACTATAAACAAATTAATAAGCAGATTCAAAATTGGAATAAATGGAACTGGGACCTAACAAATAGGATCAAAATAGTTAAGATGATGATTCTTCCAATTTTTTTATTTCTCTTCCAGGCATTACCATTTCAATATACCAAATTAAAAATGGGACACCTCAATAAAAACCTGGATGGTAGGAGCCAATAAAAGTAGAATATCCAATCTGTCATATTATTCCCCATAAAATGATGAGAGGCCCCAACAAAGCTATTTTGAAGCATGCCAATTAGTGAAACTATTAGAATTAGAGTTTGACGATGCAAAAAAAAAATGGGTAAGAATTGAGAAGTTAATAAATCAGTGGAATCACTGTTCATGTCTAAAGGAAAGGGTGAAAAGTAAAGAAATAAAGAAAATGAAAGGAAGTCCACTATCTTTGATATTAGGATGCTGGAAAAATGGCAAAACAAAATCCCAATAAACAAAATAGACAGACCCCAAATAGGAATAGGAATATTAGATAATAAAAAAGATCAGATAAGGGATACTACCTTTAAATAAAAATGGTATAACAAAGATAGGGGATCTTTTCAATTCAGATGGAATAACGAAAGACCGAAAGGAGTTAAGAGACAAATGTGGGTCAAGCAATTGTTTGTTATGGCACGAAATATTGCAAAAGAGTGGAAGAAGAAGGTCCTGAGACAGATTTAGATCAAATATTACAATGGAAAACTGAGTAATAAAAAGGAATTATGGGATTCAGATATAACAAACTAATAGATAACCAATAGAATTTGAAACCTACCCTGTTAGAAGTATGGAAAGAGGAAATAAACTGTAATCAGGACTTAGAACTGTGGATAAATTCAATCAAAACATTTAAAGAAAAAAGAAATACAATGTAAAATACAGACAATACAAGCAAAACAGAGAGTCCCCCCCCCCCAAGCAAATAGCCCATATTACAAAAAGAACAACTAAAAGCTGTTGGAATGAATATGGGGAAACCAGAATATTTATCCACATGTGATGGGACTGTGCCAGAATATTTATTCATATGTGATGGGACTGTGCTAAGGTACAAGAACTCTATAGAAAAATAAGGGAAAATAGAGGAATTATTAGAGCAAAAATTACGGTTGAACAAGAAACAGATTTTTAACTTGAAACTGGAAGTTTTTTACCCTGAAACTAGAAGGGAAAAGCAGCAATAAAGATTGGGGGGAGATGGCTAAATATAGGTTAGCTGTGGCCTAAGTTATGGTCACCCAGGGATGGAAAGAACATTTAAAAACTGGATATACAAAAATGGTAAGAATATTTAGCAAACTATATGCTTCAAGGTTGTGGATAGGAAAAATAAACATACCACTGGATACCCCAGAGGAAAACGGGAAGAACTGGTAGCCAAGGCAAAGGGCAACAGACTCTTTATCCCAAAGAGGTGGGGGTATGTGTGTGAATCAGCTTTGTGGCAGCTGCATGACACATGGAGACAAGTTGGGTTAATGTGGCCTTGAATTGTGTTTTAAAAAGTCATGGGTTGCTCTGGCTGCAGGATAAGTGTCCATGTAGAACTACTAATGTTGGAGGTAGAACCTCAAAGAGTTAAGTCTCAGTGTGTTAAGTTTTCCACAGGACAAGAATGAACTAGATCTGTTGAACTCTTTTGCTCTGCCATCATATGTGAACCTTTACGCATCAAAAGAAAGTAACTTGAACAGAGACAAAGAGTGCCAAGTCTGAAGGGTATTCAGTGGAACAATCACTATAGGATAACTTATATTTTAATGCTAAAATATATTTTATTACATTGTACAAAAACATTTATTACATTAATTATAATTTAAAGGCTTATCAGTGAAGCACATTAATGATCAGAAATAGTCTTGAAATACAGCTTTCAGGTAATTAATTAAAGGCAAAAGCCTACATGTGCTAACCTGAAGAGCTGATATTTTAGGCAGAGAGCCTGGTGTTTTAAAAACAGACAGGCATATTATGTCTTGTGATGTTCAGGCACCTGAAATTTTAGATAAGCAATCACAGATTTTCCATAAAAAGGCCACATGTCCAGTCAAAAAGTAGGAGAAAAAGACTGGCTTAAATTAAGACAGAGCTGATTTGAATAATGAACCCAGAAATGGGTTTGAATGATTTGGAGAACACAATGATATATATGTATTCAGTGCACATAATTTCATAATCTTCCATATATCGCCATCTTTTGACTTTCTGAAGAATAAGCATGGACTGAACTTGCTAAAGTCTATAACCCTACACTGGAATTGTTACTGGAGGTAGTGCTGGCCACGGCACAATTTGGCAAGTCTGCCTGGATTTTGTGCAGTACTGTATCATCAGATCCTGTCCTGCCTAAATAAAGACGCTTTAGCCATGGCAGGGCCTGACCAAGTGCTACGACTGAATCTGCAGAAAGCCTGCTGAAGAAGTCCAGGCGGAGTTCTTCCAAATCTGGCAAGCTGGCCAAGCAAGGGAGGCCTACATCTGTCAGAAAATCAGTGCCCCCAAGGTGTAAGCTGTGCAAGCACTTCATGTGGCGCCCAATGAAGTGCATGGCTGAATTGCCAATCTGACTATGGAGCAATGTGAGATGCTCAAGGCCTCCCAGATGGGGTGCTGCTCTCTGGATTCCCGCATCTGTTACTCGGTAGGTCTTGGACAAGACAAGAGTCTTAAGAGTGCCCTGTCTTGAGATGTTAAAGAGGTGTTGGTTTGAGAATGCAGGGACATTCTGGATAATCAGGTGTTGGATCCTTGGGAAATCCTTGCAGGCCTCGGCAGCTTCCGGGACTTGGAACCACACTGAAGGGATCTCACAGAAACTCAGCTCCAGAGTCGTGAGAGAGGAGGGGAGACAATCATAGGGGAGGGAACGGAGGTCTGTCTTGGTCAGGCACAAGTTGTGGAGATTGGGGCATTGCTTGCCCAAGGCCTGCATCAATGCTGGGGTAAACACATCTTGCTTCCGAATGGAGTGAAGGGATCCCTGGGCCTTCAAAGTCTGCAGAGTGCCTCGCAGATAATTCCTCAGTAGATACCACAAGACTTTGGAGGACACCTGAGAGGACGGAAGTAGATTCAACAGAGAAAACATGCAGATTAAAAGTTGCATGAGTTAAATTGATGTAAGATAGTTGGAGGGCTTATAAATGCTTGAAACAATCGTTATGGCAACAAACCTGCAGCCACAGACCCAGGAAAAAGGCCCAGTCCACTCAGCAGAACCGAGCCTTTAAACCCATGCATAAGTCTAGAAATTTTACTCAAAACCCTGGATCGACTTATTCACAGGTCAGTGTCAGTACTGTGTCTCAACTCTTAATGAAAGAGAAATCATTGGGTTCTCTGACAGCAATTATGAAAATGCAAGTGCACAGGATAGGGCTGCATACTATTTAGGTTTCACATTCAAAATTCAGCACTTCCCCCCGTCCCCTAATTTATTTTCTTCGCTGATTGTTAATTTAGAAATGGAAATGGGTTGGCTAGCTCTATAGAGAGGCTGGAGGAACTGAGGAGTTATAGCCTAAAGTAAAAGGTATACAGTAAAGCTGTTGATGTTTCGGTGCTATGTTCAGAGACTTCTGGCCCTTAAAGTTGGGTAAAATCAGCCCAATTTTATCCTGCATTAAGTAAACTCAGGAATGCTCTGGAAGGCTTAGTATGACTAGCTTGGCTGGTTCCAATTCAAATTGATTCAGTTGTTTATACAGGATAGATCGCCATTCGCCCTGGTTCCCTCGGGGAGAAAGGGCGGAATATAAATAAAGTACTATTATTATTATTACTACTACTACTACTACTACTAGTAGTAGTAGTTTTCCATGTGCTCCATTGAGAAAACATGATGGCACTTGCCCTTTGTTTGTTTGTTGCTGCTCTGGAGAGTACTCCTGAGAACTCTTGGCTATATAGCTGGGGCCTTTGTTTACATCAGCAAAGGCACCCAGCAATAGCCAGGTGCTAAAAGGAAGAGGAGAATCACCCAATCTTTTCCCCAAGTCATGTGAAAGCCTTTGCTGATGTCAGAAAAAGGGGCCTCGCATTGGTCCTGATGCAGTCCAGAATTCTGTTGCCATTGCCATGGTGACAAGCAACAGAAAAGGTAAGAGTGACTGGGCAGTAGGGCTGGACTGGATGGACTCAGCTCTGCTCCACTGCTGCCATGGTTCAAGAGCAGTGAGGTGAAAACATCTTAGCAGAATCCTTCTAATCTGCCCTGAATTTAGGTGCCCATGTAGGTGGATCCCTAAGAATCATAAATGTTGTAGTTTGGTGATTGTGACCATGTGTTAGAATATTCTGCCCTCTCCAGATAAGTACATCTATATCTTAGATGCTTCCTCGTGGCAGTCAAAAAGTATCTATCCATGTGGGTGGGCTTTTTATAATGTAAATTGTGAATCTTTCAAGTAAGGAAAGTTTCACTGTACAAGATTATAATCTGCTCTGAACCCTGAGGATGTAACTAATAGGGAAGGTTCATAGCCAATTAAAGATGGCTGTGGCATGCTTTGTGACCCAAAACAAGGAAACATGAAGGCAAAGAGCAACATGCACCCAGCTCTGCAGCTAACAATGAAACTGTTAGAGTTTATAACTCCCAAATTCAGAACGCATCTGAAATCGTACTGCATGGGAGGTATGCTGTTATACTGGCTGCAAAATTCTTCAGACTCTTAGTCTTTACCAAAATCATAACAGAGAAATCCCTGCTCAGTCATGAAAACCCACTGGTGGATCTTGAGCAAGTCATATCCCCTCGGCCTGAGAGGAAGTCGAGGGCAACCTCCCCCCATGAACAGACTTTGCCAAGAAAACTCCATTAAAGATTTGACGTAGGTCAGAAATGACACGAATGCAGAAACATATGGTTTTAGCCCTTCCTAAAAGTGTGTTGGCAATGGCTTTTGGAGTCTGAAAAGGTAGGTCAGAAATGACACGAATGCAGAAACATATGGTTTTAGCCCTTCCTAAAAGTGTGTTGGCAATGGCTTTTGGAGTCTGAAAAGGTAACTGCACCACAGTGCAAAGCTATTTTTTTATGTATTAACTTTATTTCTACCCCGGCTTTTTTCCTATGGAGACTCAAGGTGTCTAACAGCTACACAATCTGATCAAAGTTTAAAACAAAGCAAATAAAAAATAAAATAATAATTAAATAGCACTGTGTAGATATAAAGTTAAACTATAGTTAAAATATAATAAATTAAAATTACATTTAAAAATCACAATTCCCCACCCCCAGAATCCCATCCACAACCTCCCCAGCAGCGTGCCCATCCTTCTACCCTAAAGGCTTGCTGGTACAGAACACAAGTAGGGATGGGCCCAACCTGGTTTCTTTGGTAGGGGGAGCGGGGAGTTCCACATACTGGGAGCAGCCACCAAAAAAGCCCTCTCACTTGTTCACACCAAATGCACTTAATTGGGTGGTTGGACAGATGATTGTAGATATCTGTTGATTTGTAGATATCTGAGAAGTTAATAGAGAGAGATATGGTCCTTCAAGTAACCTGGACTGAAGCTGTACAAGGCCTTGTAGGTCAAAACCAGCACTTTGAATTGTGTCCAGAAACAGGCTGGCAGCCAGTGGAGCTGTAGTAACAGCAGAATTGTCCACTCCCTGTAGCCAGTTTCAGTCAGCAGTCTTGCTGCTGCTCTTTGGACTAACTGAAGTCTCTGAGCACTTTTCAAGGGCAGCACCATGCAGAGTGCATTACAGTAGTCTAACTGGGATGTAATCAAGACATTTGCCACCGTGGCCAGATCTACCTTCTCCATGAATGGGTGCAGTTGGTGCATTAGTTTTAATTGTGAAAAAGCATTCCTGGTCACTGCTAATACCTGGGCCTCCAGGTTCAGAGCTGAAATTTGGAGTGCCCCCAAACTGCAAACCTGTGTTTTCAGGGGGAGTGTGACCCCATCTAACATATGCTGAATCTCTATTATTAGACTGCTCTTATGACTGATCAGCCAACCTCTGTCTTGTCTGGATTAAGTTTCAATTTGTTTGCCCTCATTACAGCTGCCACAGACTAATTTAGCATAGACACTGATTCCTTGGCTTTAGGTGGAAAGGAGTAATGGTATTGCAGTTCATCTGTGTACAGATGGCACCACACTCCAAAACTCTCCAAAATCTCTCCCAGCGGTTTCATGTATATGTTGGGGGGCAACACAGAGTCCTGAGGGACCCCACAGGCCAATGGCCAAGGAATCAAACAGGAGTACCCCAGCAATTCCTGATCCTTGCTCACAAATATCTACTAATGCGCTGGAATTTGACCATAGTTACCTTGTAAGAAGTTAGATCCAAATGTCTCCACAGAAACTTGTCCCGCACCAGGCGACGCCACCTCTTGCAAACCCTGTAGAAAGATGTGATCAGTTGTTATCAACTAGTACTTCTCACCCAAAGGCAGGGACTGGGTGGCTTCAATGCAGAGGATCTGAACAAGTGAGTTTACATCCACAGAAGCTGATACTGAAATATGCTGCAAGAAATTAACACAGCTGCTTCTTTGAAAACTGGAGTCAAGGATCCTGTTGCAGAAGTAGTGAGGAAACTAATTGGAGGTAACTGTGAAGCAATGCCACATTGTTGGTGTGCATGGGGAGGAGGGAGCAACAGCATATATTTAGTAAGCACTTATATAGAAAAATAAATTGTTTCAGAATTCAGTCTGGATGAGGGGTTACTTCTCTGCACAAACTAGAACTTCATATTGGGGAAATGGATTTTGGCAATGTCCAAAAACTCTCGCCACTGATGAACACCTCTCAACATATGTAAGCCAGGGACTTCTCTGAAACTACATTTCAGGACACCCATTGAAGAGGGAAACATAGGGACAACAGGATTTTGAAGAACTTCTGCACCTGAGCCATTCCTAAGTGTTTAACTTGTATTTCCTTAGGCAAGCCAAATAGAAATAACACTGTTTCAGTTGATTTTTATTGGATGAAAAGGGCTACACCCCCAAAAAACAATGCCAGGACTTCATCACACTGCAACAGGATGCATTAGGGTCCCCAATTAACTATTTGTAAGCTTATAGCTTTTGTTTCCCTTTGATAGCTGCTCTAGACATGCTTTTGGAGCAGCTCTTCTACACTGCTGGAACAAATATGCTCCTTTGAAGGTACATGGTAGCGCTTAGAGAGTTGCCTCGATATCTTACAAGGCTCCAAAGCAGGCCTGGTGTTTCATAGACAAAGCGGAAGGGGGGGGGGAGCAAAGCAGAAGGCAAGAATATCTCCCTTCCCTGTCACAAAGGCTCCTGTATCTTTAACAAAGGAGTTACAGTTTTATGTTGCTGTCCATATTGCGCTGTAAACTAGGAATGAAGATCTAGTGGCCACTAGATTGTTTTTTACCTTGTACTACTACTACTACTACTACTACTACTAATAAATCCTTATTTATATGCTGCTTTTCTCCCACAATGGGGACCCAAAGCGGCTTCCAACATGGTAAAAACACAATACAAGTTAAACAACAATCAAATGCATGAATATAAAACAGATGGAATTTACTGGGTTGCTGTGAGTTTTCCGGGCTGTCTGGCCATATTCCAGAAACATTCTCTCCTGACTTTTCACCCACATCTACACCAGGGATTCTTAGTAGTTGTGAGGTCTGTTGGAAACTAGGCAAGTGAGGTCTATATATCTGTGGAATGTCCAAGGTGGGAGAAAGAACTCTTGTCTGTTTGAGGCAAGTGTGAATGTTGCAATTAGCCAGCTTGATTAGCATTAAATGGCCTTGCAGCTTCAAAAGCTTGGCTGTTTCCTGCCTGGGGGAAGCCTTTCTTGGGAGGTGTTAGCTGGCCCTGATTGTTTCCTGTCTGGATTTCCCCTGTTTTCTGAGTGTTGCACTTTATTTATTGTACTGATTTGAGAGTTTGTTTTAATACTGTAGCCAGAATTTGTTCATTTTCATGTTCTTTCCTCCTTTCTGTTGAAATTGTCCATATGCTTGTGGATACTATTTCCTGTTCGTTTAACGGCTGTGCAGAAGGAAGTTCTGCAGGTGTTGTTTTCAGGACAATATAAATTGATTCCCCATTATGCATGTTCAATAAAGAGGCAGAACACCTGTGCCTCATTTTGCCTGTCAACAACTCCCAGAAACCCCAAACACCATGGCCAACCACTGGAGGGACCTGCAGTCCAAAATACCTAGATGGAACAGGCATCCTATCACTCACTATAGACCAGTAGTTCTCAACCTTCCTAATGCCTCAACCCCTTGATACAGTTCCTCATGTTGTGGTGACCCCCAACCATAAAACTATTTTCGTTGCTACTTCATAACTGTAATTTTGCTACTGTTATGAATCATAATGTAAATATCTGATATGCAGGATTTTCATTCACTGGACCAAATTTGGCACAAATATTTATTTATTTATTTACTACTGGTGGGGGGTGGGGGGGTTGATTTTGTCATTTGTTAGTTGTATTGCTGGTACTTATAGTTCATCTACAATCAAAAAGCATTCTAAACTTCACCAATGATGGAACAGAACCAAACGTGGCACAAAAAACTCCCATAACCAACAGAAAATACTGGAAGGGTTTGGTGGGCATTGCCCTTGAGTTTTGGAGTTGTATTTCACCTACATCCAGAGAGCACTGCAGACTTAAACAATGATAGATTTGGACCAAAGTTGACAAAAATATGCAATGTGCCCAAATGTGAACACTGGTGGAGTTTGGAGAAAATAGACCTTGACATTGGGGAGTTGTAGTTACTGGGATTTATAGTTCACCTACAATCAAAGAACATTCTGAACCCCACCAATGATAGAATTGGGCCAAACTTCCCACACAGACCCCCATGACCAATAGAAAATACTGTGTTTTAATTAAACTGTTTATTTTGGTTATGGTACATAACAGAAAAGCAAATCGTGGCAGATATAATCAGGTAACAATATTTTTGATGTGTACATGCCTATCTACCTTAGTCAATCAACCAGTTAATTTTGACATTGAGTACAAATTATTATCATTTATATAACTTAATACATATAGACTTGCTATTTCTGCCTGTTTTCCACTACTTTCAGTCAAAGCTTTCTATTCAATTTTCCCATTACATTCAGAAAATCAGCACATGGCATTTTACACACAGCAAACCACACACTCATCCCAGAACCCTTATCCCACACAAAATAAAACCTCTTCCCCACACCCATGCACTCTTAACCATGATTTCCAACACCGAAACACTATGAAGCCTTTAAGCCTATTTATCTATCTTTATTCACGGTAAACCTAAATTCCTAATGGAGCTCCTCTATGTTGGTTGTAGGTTTTTTCGGGCTATATGGCCATGTTCTAGAGGCATTTTCTCTTGATGTTTCGCCTGCATCTATGGCAGTATCCTCAGAGGATGCTTGCCATAGATGCAGGTGAAACGTAAGAGAGAATGCCTCTAGAACATGGCCATATAGCCCGATAAAACCTACAAAAACCCAGTGATTCGGCCATGAAAGCCTTCGACAAGATTCCTCTATATTACTGATTATTCAGATATGCCATGGCCAACTTCCATTTTTCTAAAAAGTCCTCATTGCTTGTATTCCTCCTGTTTTAAGTTAGTCTGGCCATTAGCATACGCTGTGTTTTCTGCTGGTCTTTGGTGACCCTTTGCCATTCCCTCATGATCCCCCACAGGGGTCCTCACCCCCAGGTCGAGAAACGCTGCTATACACCCTGGTGCATTTAGTCTAAAAGTGCCAGATTCTGTCTGGCCTTGGAAGCTAAGCAGGGTCAGCCCTGGTTAGCGCCTGGAAGGGAGACCACCAACGAATACCAAGTGCCGTAGGCGATATATCTGAGGGACTAACACAGTGTTTCTCAACCTAGGGGTCGGGACCCCTGGGGGGGTCATGAGGGGGTGTCAGAGGGGTCCCCAAAGACCATCAAAAACCACAGTATTTTCTGTTGGTCATGGGGATTCTGTGTGGGAAGTTTGGCTCAATTCTATCATTGGTGGAGTTCAGAATGCTCTTTGATTGTAGGTGAACTATAAATCAGCAACTACAACTCCCAAATGTCAAGGTCTATTTTCCCCAAACTCCACCAGTGTTCACATTTGGGCATATTGAGTATTTGTGCCAAGTTTGGCCCAGATCTATCATTGTTTGAGTCCACAGTGCTCTCTGGATGTATGTGAACTACAACTCCCAAACTCAAGGTCAGTGCCCACCAAACCCTTCCAATATATTTCTGTTGGTCATTGGAGGTCTGTGTGCCAAGATTGGTTCAATTCCATTGTTGATGGAGCTCAGAATGCTCTTTGATTGTAGGCAAACTATAAATCCCAGCAACTATAACTCCCAAATATCAAAATCAATCCCTTCCCAACCCCACCGGTATTCAAATTTAGGCATATTGAGTATTTGTGCCAAATTTGGTCCAGTGAATGAGAATACATCCTGCATATCAGATATTTACATTACAATTCATAATAGTAGTTCTGAAGTAGCAACAACAATAATTTTTATGATTGGGGGTCACAACATGAGGAACTGTATTACGGGGTCGCGGCCTTAGGAAGGTTGAGAACCACTGGATTAACAGAACCTCTTCTGAGCCTTCCTTGCCTAGGAGAAACCTTTGGGACGCCAGGAAGGAGAGTGAGGCGGACTGCCCTATCACATCACACCGCAGCTGCCATGGCAACATCCAATAGAATCCTGGGATTTGGAGTTCTGGGAGGAGCCTTCCGACTCTTCAGCAGAGCGCTGTCGGGCCTCACTAAACTACAACTCCCAGAATCCCACCGCAGTTAAGGGTGGGAGAAGAGCTCCCTCCCCGCCTGGAGCCCTCACCTGGCTCCGCCCACTCGGTCACGTGGGGGCAGCCACGCCAGGATCTCGAGTAGGAGCGAGTCCGGGAGCGTGGCGAGGCTGGGCACCGACATGGCTGAGTGTATGCCTTCCATTTGAGAGCTTCTACCGCCTTTCCTTGGAACGTTCGACCAGGCTCCTCCGATTTCCGCTTCCGGGCTTGTGAGGCACGCTTCCGCTTCCGCTTTCTTCCCCCTTCGGGCGTCTGCGTGAGTTCCTCCGTGACTGTTTCGGCCCGCTTTCCTTGGGGTAGGTGAAAGGAGCAAGGCCGGCTGCTTTAGCGCTCCAGGCCCCGGACAGTGGCCGGGAAAGCTCCCGAAGCCCCCAGAGTGAGGTTAGCTGTGCTTCTGTGGGTAGCTCTTCTTTTACTTCTATGGGGAATTTCAAGCTGAACTGAAATTCGGGTGCGAAGGAGCTCTTTCCTTTCATCTGGTATTATTCTGATTCTGATTGGTGGATTATTAAGAGCCAGCGTCGAACCACACCTCTGGAGTCTAAGGTTTGAGCCCCCACTTAGCTATAGACACTATATGGATTCTTTCAGCGATTCACATTCTCAGGGCCTCTGAGCAAGGACAGGCCCCATCTACCCTTCCATATAATTTATTTATTTACTTTATTTGTATACCGCTGTTCTCAACCCTTAGGCGACTCACAGCGGTTCACAACAAGAATAGCAGAAATTCCATGCTATCATAACACAGTATAAAAAACAGTTAACATCATAACATATTATAGAAAAGTATACAATTAACAACAATATACAATTAACACCAATAGCCATTCGCTAGCGTCTCATCACTAAAAACATGATCCAGATCCGTCATCCATTGTTCCATTCCTATGTTCATTACATTCATTGCACTAACTATTTGAACGCCTGCTCAAACCAGGTTTTCACTTTTTTGTGGAATACCATTAATGATGGAGCTAGTCTAATGTCCGTGCTATACACAGTGTATATAGTGTAGACTCATATAATCCACTTCAAATCAGATAACCTGGTTTCAGAAACTGGATTATATAGCAGGGTAGATCCAGCCCAAATTTTGCCAGGGAAGCCCTGCAATAGCTTCTCCTCAGGACAAATTGAAAAATGGCTTGAAGTTGAACAGCCACAACACAGGCTGAGTTTCCTTTACTCAAGATGCTTGGCACCAGAAGTGTTTTGGATTTTTTTTATTTCTTCAGATTTTGGAGTATTTGCATGTACATAATGTATGTGGCGTTGGAGGAAAGTGCCGAGAGTGCCTTGGACAGCGAGAAGATCCAACCAGTCCATACTTCAAGAAATAAAGCCTGACTGCTCATTGGAGGGAAGGATAGTAGAGGCCAAGATGAAGTACTTTGGCCACATCATGAGAAGAAAGGAAAGCTTAGAGAAGACAATGATGCTGGGGAAAATGGAAGGAAAAAGGAAGAGGGGCCGACCAAGGGCAAGATGGATGGATGGCATCCTTGAAGTGACTGGATTGACCTTGAAGGAGCTGGGGGTGGTGATGGCCAAAAGGGAGCTCTGGAGTGGACTGGTCCATGAAGCCATGAAGAGTCGGAAACGACTGAACGAATGAACAATGAGATATCTTGGAGATGGGAGTCTGAACACAGAATTCTATTATATTTCAATGTATTGAAGGCTGTCATGTCTGGAATCACTGGGTCGTTGTGAGTTTTTGGGCTATATGGCCAGTGTTCCAGCAGCATTCTCTCCTAACGTTTCTTCTGCATCAATGGCTGACATCTTCAGATATTCAGAAGACTCACAGCAAGAATATAGTTTATTTAATAATAATAATAATAATAATAATAATAATAATAATAATTTGTCGAAGGCTTTCATGGCCGGAATCACTGGGTTGTTGTAGGTTTTTTCGGGCTATGTGGCCATGTTCTAAAGGCATTTTCTCCTGACGTTTTGTCCGCATCTATGGCAAACATCCTCAGAGGTAGTGAAGTCTGTTGGAACTAGGAGACTGCCCTATCTCCCCGAAGGGACTCAGGGTTACAAAAAAACATTGCAAACATTCAATGATAAAAGAAAACCATACAAACAATTTACATCAGGACTAGACACATTGGACAATATAGAGCAACCTAACTGTAACATAATAAAAACACCATACAATGTAAAAATCCCAATAAAACACACTAAAAATATAAAACCGATTACGTCATAGCGCCATTGGGTGAGGTTCAACAATACCAATGGCTGAGATTAACCTGATCAGTTATAAAAAAGCTGAGAGTGCAAACAGCATGTCATCGGGTCGGGGAAGTGAATGAAGTGCAGAACAGGCGACCTAGAGACTAGGCCAATGCCTCATACACATAGCCTGGACATAAATTTATACAGAATATTTCTAAAGTTTGTGTACATGGAACCACCAGAAAGCAAACATGTCAATGTCTTGGCCATCATGTGGACAATTTTGGGTTTACAGATAAGGGATGCTCAAGCTGTATTTCATATTATTTTTGCTCCACTTCATCTTTAAAGAAGGCAAGAATAAAAAGCATGTTTTTAATTTTATGCCTTCAGTTGCCAGATGCAAAAGAAAACTGGAATGTCATTACTTTGAAAGGTAATTGTGTGGAAGGAATTTCATTTCCTCAGAATGTTGAGACTTTCTATATAGTTCTTTAAGAATGCAAGAGCTCTGTCTTCTTTTGAAGGTAGGTCTGATCTGGCCCTGCCTATTTTGCTACACTTGTGATTTTGGCTGTTAAATTGTAACAGTTTCCACAAGAGTGGTCATATGTGTTTTCTGTGGCACTCTGAAGGTTGTCAGGAATGTCCATTGCTTCACTCAACCAAAAAGGCTTTCTACTTCCATGACCTACTGTTTCGCAATGAAATTTGTTGAGACAACCATAATTGATTACAGTTTTTGCATTTCAGTTTTCTAGCCCTTCAGCTTGTATATTTTTGATGTTGCAATTCATGCATTTTATGAAAAGGTTGGACTCCCCCCCCCCCCACACAAACCTATACCAAACTTCTTAGTGTTTCAGGTATCATTATAGCCATTGTTGTTTTTGTTATGACAGGCTAACACTATTCTTTTTATGGCTTCTTAAAATGGCAGTCTTCCCATGATTGATTGTACCTCTGGAATGTCAGTGCTTCCATTTTTTCTTATTTTGAGCAATAAAATAGTTTAACAAAAACAGGATAGGGGTTAATAAACCATTCTGGAAGAGTTATGTTTATATAAATATGAGAATTTTTAAATGAGGAGTACAGCAGCGGAACTTCTCAATTAATTTTGTATCCTGTCCCAGGGCACTCAGTGGCCTAGTTGCTCCCAGATGAAGGGTTTATAGTATTATCAGTTGAATAACATTGTACAGTTATCCACTATTACTTAAATGGATGAAGTGGTGGAAAACCCTGTGATGTTACAAGTGGAAGACAGGCATGTCTGGACTTACCTATAACGTTCTGTGTGGTAGGGAGTATGATATTATTGTACAAATCTCAGCTAGATTTGCCCAGAATCCTCATTTATTTGGGAATTCCGACCTCACTCTCTTTTCCTGAGATTGTGCTTTGAAAAAGCGAACAACCCCCTCTCTATCTGAAGTGACTGATCACATTTTTTTCTCTGTTTCTTTCTTCCAACAGTACCCCTAAAGGCAGGAGGCTAGAGGTCTCCTAACTCAGCAGTTTCTTGTACACTGATTACCATTGACACCAGATCGGGATGATTGAAGTGGTTTGCAATGATCGTCTGGGCAAGAAAGTGAGAGTCAAGTGCAAGTATCCAAAACAGAAATATGTAATTTTTGAACACCTAGGGAGAGCTAGACTATATTTTCTAACCTTATATTTAATTTGTTTTATTTGTGAAGCCTCTTGACACATACAAAGATACTTAACAAGGGAAATATCTGTGATGAGTACTGTTCACTTGGAATATGAGCATAGTTTAACATAGGTGTAGGCGACGCTGGACATAAGAAATGACTCAGAAATTGTCTTAACAGTCACTTCCTTTTGAAATAATGCTTTCTCCTATTCCAGCAATTTTCTGAGCAAGAGTATCTGGAAGGCTTCATAATTCCGCTCGCTTGGTTTTCTCCCAAGTATGGGATCACTCTAATTCATTGTCTACATTTGGACTAGAATGCCTGTTGTCAGGCAAGTTAAAGTTCAAAAAGCAACAGCTCAAGCAGAATGGGTGTAAGAATGGATTAAGGCACATGCTTAATGGAGAAGATTGGTATAGAGTGAAGATGTGTGTGTGTGAGAGAGAGCATTAGACAGGTTTAATAATCTCTAAACTGAGGGTAGTGCTTTTTTAAAAATAAGCAGGAAGCCTTGTGATAACTTTTTTTGTGTTGCAGTAAACAAATTTTGTTCAAAGATGGAGAAAACTCTTCTTAGGGGTGTTTTTTTAAAAAAAATAATAGGTGTTTTGATTATATATGTTTAAGGATTACCCACCCTAGGTAGGGATTTTAAAATATTAAAATATTTACATTTTTTTCTCCAGGATTTAGGAAAACACATATAAAGGTTCCAAAGATGTATGTGTGGGAAGTAAGGAAAACAGGGGGGAGGGAGAGAAGTGGCCGGTAGAAGATTTATGCACAACCTCAATGTGTATTCCATTTAATAATCTGAAAAAATTAGTCTCTTAGAATTTATGACAAAGAGGCCTCCACTTGAGATACATTATTGCTTAACTGGTACTATTGCTCAGCTCTGATGATACCATTCGGGACCTGAAAAAGCTAATTGCGGCCCAGACTGGAACTCGGTGGGACAAGATTGTGCTAAAGAAATGGTGAGTAGAAATGTGGACGGATTTGAATAAAAGAATGATACTTTCGTTTCAGGCAGAATTGTATATGGCATTACTGTCCTAGTCTAGTTCTGAGACCCAGAGTTCAAGAGCATCATTTGTGTCCTGAATACAAGAGACCCAAGGATAATATATAAAGGCTGTCTCCCCCCTCCCTCCTGTGCAAAAGTACAGCTATCCCGCTACATTTGCGGTTTAAGCATTACGCATTTGTGGATGCGAGTTAATTTGCTGTGCTGTCTCCTGAAGCAGGGAGCAGAGTAGCGACCATGTCAGTTGCCACCCACCCTTCACTAAAGGTTCATAGACTTTGGTTGGGGGTTGATGGTGACTGAAATCATTGCTATTCCACTCCCTGCGACTTCAGGGGGCAGAATAGCAATGGTTTTAGTTGGCATTTCCCCACAAAAGTCTGCAAGTCTGTAGACTTTGGTGTGGGATGATTACAACTGAAGCTGTGAACACAAGACCTGCAAATGTGGAAGACCAATTGTATTTTATTATAAATATTTATTTATTGCCCCCCAGCCAAAATGGTTCTCAGATAATTCAAAAGGATCATAAAACAATAAAAATTATAAACTAAATAATTTCAAATTGTACTCAGCAAGAGCTCACAATGGCAGAATATTGTCACTCCAGAATGCCAGATAAACTCAATCAGAAAAGGAACAAAAATAATTTTGCTTTCCTCTGAAGGAAGATAGCTTTGGGAAGAGGCTCTATTTCTTATTGGTGGGTCTCTGAACTGCCTCATTCAGGATTAGTCAGGCCAGATTCCAATTCAGGAAAGATCATGAGGACGCATTCTAGCAACAAGCAGTGCTTGGAAACAAGGAAAGAGTAGGTTGCTCTGAACCAATGGGACAGGGCCAAATATATATACATACATACATACATACATACATACACGCATGTATTTTCCTCTCAGGCATAGCTCTGTCTATGCATATTCACTGCAGAATAAGCTCAGCACAACAGCTTTTTTGCATGTGAAGTGCAGGTCATTTTCATGGAAGGTCTTTAAAGTTTGAGTAGCATATTATCTCTAATCTCTGATGGGAAATAACACTAGTAAAGCCCTATGGGCAAGATGAGGAACCCATGCAGTCCAAGGGCATTCCATCTCTGGAAGTTGTGGAAACAGAGGGGTGATGAGTATTATTATTTTGTTTATATTCTGCCCTATTTCCAATAATGAGACTTTTGACAGTTAACAACATAGACCTTAATATCTCAAGTCTGTAGGGCATATAGAAAGAGACACTCCTAGCATATTTTTGATTCAGTCATTTAAAGCTGTAGAAGTCATATCCACAAATTACATTACATCTCAAAATAGAATGGCAACTTATATCTTATTGTAATATATAATAATCACAGGAAGTTACTCTTACAAACATCCAGTTGCTTCTGCTGCAAGATAATGTTTGGAGCCATCTTTAAGGAAAATTCCATGTAAAGCCCATTGTTCCCAGATTGTTGTGTGTGTAATTATGTTAATTTCATGTTTTAACAGAAATAATTGTCATTGTTAATTTGCTTTGTGTAGCATATTAAAATTAACTATATATTTTTTTAATGTTATAGGTACACAATTTTCAAGGACCATGTGTCACTGGCAGACTGTATCCTTAATCCTGGTGGTTGACAATAAGTAAGAGCTTTACTATATGTACAGAGAAGGGAACAGCACTCATTAATCATCTTTAAATTCAGTAATGTTATTTGGATAGTTGCTTTGAAATCATTTCCGAATTATTTATACTTTTGCAAAAAGACTTGCACAAAATACTCTTAGCCAATAGACCAGAGTTCACTTATATACATTTTTGATTCCACTAGGTCTTTATGTATTCTCTTTTTAAAATATTTGTATTCCACACTGTATCTGGAGATCATAGAAAGGTTTTACTGAATCTTAGACAAAAATTGATTAAAATACCCAGTTCTATAACTTGCTTCCTTTTTTCATCATGCAAACAAGAGCTGAATAGAAAGTGGAAATTTTAAGTTCTTCTTGAATAATGTGTATGTGTTTAGATGTGCACAGATACAAGCAGAGTAACAGATTTGGGGCTTTCACATTTTGTATAATGAAATTTTGATTATTATTTTTTTTTGGAAATACAGTGTTTTCAGAATAAGGCATAAAAGTGGGAAATTCTGCCTTTGCTCTCTTAAAAGGATCTTAATGTGGCAAACAATCCTAAAAACTATACAATAGACAATTCAAAACCTAAAACATATACAGCCAAAAATAGAGTTATACAAAGCAGTATTAAAAATAGTGAAAACCATTAAAAACCTACCAAAATACACAAAACACTTCACAACATGCCCTGGCTTAGTCTTAAAATCTTATTTAAAAGTCACAGTTTATATCACTACTTCTTAAACTGGGGGTCCTGACCCCAAATGAGACCCTTTTAACTCAATGTTGGGGTCACAAAAATTGGCAACAGTAAAGGTTTTGCCACCTAGTGGCTCTTTGAAACATTTACACAAATCTGTTAGTGTTAAATGTTTGATTTCTATAGTAGATTAGGATTGCCTAACCATGCCTATAGGTTAATGCAGTGTTTCTCAAACTGTGCTCCTCCAGGTGTTTTGGACTTCAACTCCCAGAAATCCCAGCCAGTTTACTAGCTCTTAGGAATTGTGGGAGCTAAAGTGCAAAACATCTGGAGGAGCACCATTTGAGAAATATTGGGTTGATGGAAAAGTTTGCTGGCCTTACAAAAGAAGGAAAGGGGTTCTAGATATAGGCTTGCTGATATCTCTGCTTCATTTTTCAGATTTGTGTAATGTGCTTGAGTTTATAAAAAGTCCTATGTTTATATATTACGTTTTCCATTAAAGTTTAATGTAAAGGCTGAGATGATAATATGTGAAATGGCCCTGTCTCTGCCTTTTACTACATATTGCTCAGTATTTAAAACAGGAGCAGCCAACTGGTATCTAGCTAGTGTTGAAATTCCCAGCAGCCTTGGTTAGTATAGCTAAAATGAAGACTGGTGAAATTTCATGTCAACATCTGGTGTGTTGTTTCCTGATAAAGTGTTTTGTAGGTCTGTGTATGGCTTCTGGCAGTTTGAAAATATGAGGATCAGCATCTGTGATGTTTCCAAAGGAAATGCCATTTTGGTAGTATCGTAGACTTTTCTAGATTTACACATTAAGCTCACTTACTAGACCTGAATGTTTTCCTGTGGGAATTCACCTTAACTTTTTACTTTCAGATGAAATCCATGATGGCATGAACCTAGAACTATACTATCAGTAATTTGGTTGTGGTAGATTTCATATCTGTCATGGTCTCTTTTCTTTTTTCTTCATTTCTAATTTCATTGAAAGTGTCAATGGCTTGTTTAGTTGCATGAATTGTGGCTAGTAATATTTTTATCCCTTATGGCAATAAACTAGAAGATATCTTCTCAAACTGTGTGTTTTTTAAAAATACAAATGTTTATAATAAATGTGATATAACAACATGTGTTAGATGTGGTCTTTGAGGCATTTTTAACCATGTTATTTGTGGAAGTTATAGTGAGAATAGGAGCCCCCGGTGGCGCAGTGGGTTAAACCCTTGTGCCGGTAGGACTGAAGACCGACAGGTTGCAGGTTCGAATCTGGAGAGAGGCAGATGAGCTCCCTCTATCAGCTCCAGCTCCTCATGCGGGGACATGAGAGAAGCCTCCCACAAGGATGGTAAAAAACATCAAATAATCTGGGCGTCCCCTGGGCAACGTCCTTGCAGACGGCCAATTCTCTCACACCAGAAGCAACTTGCAGTCTCTCAAGTCGCTCCTGACACGACCAAAAAAATAAATAAAAATAGTGAGAATAATGTAGCACAGCTTTATCATTCTATCCAAAGAGCGTACCATCCCACAATCCCCTCTTGTTAGCTTAATTATTTACAAATTGATATAGTCACAACAACTACTTACCACATGTACAACATTTGAATACAACTGGGAGGGCCTGATTTTTTGGTTTACAAAAGTTGCCTTCATTATAAGGTTGGGAAATCTTTGATTTTCAGATGTTTTGGCCTACATTCCCTTTTACCACACTGGCATGGTTAGGAGTTGGAGAACAAAATCTCTAAGGGATAAAGGCTTCTCACTACTGCCTTGTTACTGGTTTAGTGAAAGTTCTTAATCACTGCCAATGTAAATTCACAATAGTGCTTGTTATCTGGAATAACAATAGAAATTACTGCTACACACAGTATTTGTTCTGTTAAATGAATTGGGAATAATCCTTCTGTGCCATTGCCAACCAGAGCAGACAATAATTCATCTAGCCTGTAAGCATCATTCTGTCATAAATTACTGGCTCTATAGCCAAAGTTCTAAATAAAGAGCAGATTTTAACAGCCATTAGCCATGATAGCAAAACAGTGCATGAATTCAATCTGCATTCCATAATTGCTGGTTTAACTTTGGTGGATTTGATTATTTGTAGATTCATTTAATGTGTTCCCTAGGAATTAATAGGTCCTTCAGCATGATCCTATGGTCAACCTCTTGTGGAGGTTGTCCTGGATAACCAAAAGGTGTTGTCTCAGGTAAAATAAAATTTTTCCCCACATTTATGGGACTCTTCTGTACCTAACCGTGAAAATGGAGGGCATACTCGTATATCTCTGGGAGGGGGAAGTGCACAGATTGCCTAAAGAAGGGATAGAAATAATGTCGTTTCCTAGGTACATACTTTTGGACTTCCAGCACTCCTAACCATTGGCTATTCTAGGCTGTTGGGAACTGCAATTCAGTAACATTTAGAAAGTAACACAGTTCCCTTCCCTGGGCTAGAGTTCAGAAGGATGGGGTGTCTTGAAATGGACAAAATTCCTTCTTTTCCTCATTTCTTTAAGCGTTTAGAGATGGATGAACTGCTGCTCAGAATACCTGGCTAAAAACCACACCATGATTTTCGGGGCTTTTGAACTGACTCAGAATTGCACTGTCCTAGTTTCTCTCTAGGCAGGTAGGAACATGGAATGTACGTATTTAAACCTGGGACGGGAGACTGAGTTTTCCAGGTTGTATGGCCATGTTCCAGAAGCATCCTCTCCTGACGTTTCACCCACATCTATGGCAGGCATCCTCAGAATTTTGAGGCCTGTTGGGAACTAGACAAGTGGGGTTTATATATCTGTGGAATATATATAAACCACAGATATATAGGAAAAAACTCTTGTCTATTTGAGGCAAGTGTGAATGCTGCAATTGGCCACCTTGATTAGCATCAAAAAGCCTTGCAGCTTCAAGGCTTGGCCGCTTCCTGCCTGGGGGAATATTTTGTTGGGAGGTGATTAGCTGGCCCTGATTATTTATTGTCTGAATTCCCGTTTTTAAAAATATATAATTTCTTAAATTTTTAAAACCACCTACACACACATAAGTGATTAAAAAGCAAACCAGCAGCACCACCCTATATTATCTGCAGACAGGGGACATCTTTTTACGATGCCACTGTGTGCAATGGGATTTGAGCCAAACCAAGGGGCCTACTGCATTTCTAAATTGGCTCCACCCAAGAAGGCACTGGGATTGGTTTGCAGTAATGTTTCAAATGCGCAATTCCGAGCCAGAACTAATACAACTGGTGCCAATATTTTGATCAGCAGGGAGTTTGTCCAGAGGAGGGCGACTAAAATAATCAAGGGTCTGAAAAACAAGCCCTATGAGGAGCGGGCATGTTTAGCCTGAAGAAGAGAAGGCTGAGAGGAGATATGATAGCCATGTATAAATATGTGAGAGGAAGCCACAGGGAGGAGGGAGCAAGATTGTTTTCTGCTTCCCTGGAGACTAGGACTTGGCTTCAAACTACAAGAAAGGAGATTCCATCTGAACATGAGGAAGAACTTCCTGACTGTGAGAGCCGTTCAGCAGTGGAACTCTCTGCCCTGGAGTGTGGTGGAGGCTCCTTTGGAAGCTTTTAAACAGAGGCTGGATGGCCATCTGTCAGGGGTGATTTGAATGCAATATTCCTGCTTCTTGGCAGAATGGGGTTGGACTGGGTGTCCCATGAGGTCTCTTCCAACTCTTATGATTCTAATCAGAAGACCCATAGTCCTGCCCAGGAACTTTTATTGTGTTGCCTTTGTCTAGATGAGTCCATAAATGTAGGCAAGGCTAGGAACGCATGAAGACATCCCAGCACAGTATCATCTCCGTAGGCTATTAACTCAAAAGGAGCACAGGACTTGTGATTAAACAAAAGACATTCATGAGGGGGAGGGAAGGTCCATGGAGCATCTGAACATAATACATTTTCTATAATATAATATGAAGGCAAAAGGAACACATAAGGACAAAACACAGAGGTTTGGAGGACCTGGTGTGCACAGGAGGCATAGTTTCCTCAAGTACACACATTAGCCAGGCTCTTTAGAGTGGGGAGTCTGAGGGAGATTAAGGAGGGGGGCAAGGAACACTCTTGGGGGAAAATGAAAAGATTGGAGTCCAGAGATCCCAGGAAAAAGGAGGAAAAGCACTTCCCCCCTCCTCCATAAAGAAGATGAAGGCTCCTATTCTCCCATACAAGTCAAAAGTGGCAAAATAGCCCACTGGCAGGGCTCCCGCCTTTGAAACAAAAGTTTCTCGTTCTAATCCCGGTCAGGGAGGGTTACCGAGACATACGTTTTGCTGGGAAAAGCTTCCCCTTGTGTATCCTTTTGTGTGTGTGTGTGTGTGTAAATGACAGAAGAGGAAGACCAGAGCGAGCCATGCTGCTACCCTGGAGAGCCATGCCACACCATGAGGGCGGAGGCTGTTTTCCCTCATACAACAGTCTCTACCTCTAGCCAATAGGAGCGCGACGTCTTCACCCAGTTGGCCAATCGTGGGAGAGGCCGCCGGAGCCATTGTGCGCGTGCGGCGTCGTTGCCAGGAGAAGTGGGCGTGGCCTCCTCTGCGCTTGGTGCTGTGAGAGGAGGGAAGATGGCGGAGGAGGAGAAGCTCCCCGCGGGCTGGGAGAAGCGCATGAGCCGCAGCTCCGGTACCGCCGTGGACTGGGAAGCGGGCGTGGGCGGGCACCGAGCTGTGGGGGCGTCCCGGGAGGGTGTCTGTGCGTGAAGGTCCGGCCTCGGGAAGAAGGAAGGCCGGAAGGGAGCCGCTTTCATTGTGACTTAGATTGAGGGGCCTGCGCGGCGGCGGCCTCTCTCTCCCCCCCCCCCCGAAGGAGTGTCGAAAGGCAAGAGGAACTCCCTTTCTAGACACAGTGGTTCTCAATCTGTGAGTCCCCAGGTGTTTTGGCCTACAACTCCCAGACATCCCAGCCAGTTTTACCAGATGTTAGGATTTGTGGGAGTTGAAGGCCAAAACATCTGGAGACCCACAGGTTGAGAGTCACTGGCAGGGATTAGAAAGAAGGGTTTCCCCCCTCTCTGCAGGAATGTAGATGGAAGCTATGACGGGGAAAGGAGGGTTACTATCTGTGGCTCCTCCTCAGAGATAAGCCAAACCCCATAGCAAACAACGGTGTTTCTGGGGGCTCCTTCTCTATTACTGTGGGCCTTTCCACACAACCACATTTTGATAACTCAGAACATCAATGCAGATAATCCACAATATCTGCTTTAAATTAGATTACCTGAGTCCACACTGACATATAATCCAGTTCAATGTGGATTTTGTACAGCCAGGTTTGCAAAGTGAGGGCTATGCCTAAAAGTGAGTCACCAACATGAAATGTTTGGAAAGCTGTGGTCGGTTGTATAGGATTATAAACAAACAGAACTGAAAACGTGTGTTGTCAAAGGCTTTCGGAATCACCGGGTTGCTGTGAGTTTTCCAGGTTGTATGGCCATGTTCCAGAAGCATCCTCTCCTGACATTTCACCCACATCTATGGCAGGCATCCTCAGAGTTTTGAGGTTTGTTGGGAACTAGGCAAATGGGGTTTATATATTCGTGGAATATATTTGCACCACAGATATATAGGAAAAAAAACTTGTCTATTTGAGGCATATGTGATTGCTGCAATTGGCCACCTTGATTAGCATCAAAAAGCCTTGCAGCTTCAAGGCTTGGCCGCTTCCTGCCTGGAGGAATACTTTGTTGGGAGGTGATTAGCTGGCCCTCATTGTTTATTGTCGAATTCCTTTTTGAAAAATATATAATTTCTTAGATTTTTAAAACCACCTCCACACACACACATAAGTGCTTAAAAAGCAAACCAGCAGCAGCACCCTATATTATCTGCAGACAGGGGACATCATTTTACGACGCCAGTGTGCAATGGGACTTGAGCCAAACCAAGGGGCCTACTGCATTTCCGAATTGCCTCCGCCCAAGAAGGCACAGGGATTGGTTTGCAGTAACGTTTCAAATGCGCATTTCCGAGCCAGAACTAATACGACTGGTGCCAATATTTCGATCAGCAGAGAGTTTGTCTTACTCCCAGTTCTGGAGGCCATCGGTGTACATCTGCAGTGCGGTGGCACGCTTCGACGTGGTGACTTGAATAACCACGACGCCCATCCTTCCAATCCATACGCGACGGGGCTCTGTATAGCTTTCCAAAAGCTAAATGTGAGCGCTTTGCTTCACACCCGGCCTTTTTTGTCCCTTCGCAGCCTCCGTCGTCTCACCTTTGGCGTGCCAAGGCAGCCAAGTACCCTCTCTCGCGCGGTCTCTAGCTCTAGCCAATAGGAGCGCGACGTCTTCACCCAGTTGGCCAATCGTGAGAGAGGCCGCCGGAGCCATTATCGCGTGCGGCGTCGTTGCCAGGAGAAGTGGGCGTGGCCGCCTCTGCGCTTGGTGCTGTGAGGAGGGAAGATGGCGGAGGAGGAGAAGCTCCCCGCGGGCTGGGAGAAGCGCATGAGCCGCAGCTCCGGTACCGCCGTGGACTGGGAAGCGGGCGGGAGCGTGGGCGGGCGGGCACCGAGCTGTGGGGGCGTCCTGGGAGGGTGTCTGTGCGTGAAAGTCCGGCCTCGGGAAGAAGGAAGGCCGGAAGGGAGCCGCCTTCCTAGTGACTTAGATTGAGGGGCTTGCGCGGCGGCCCCCCCCCCCCCCGAGAGAGTGTCGAAGGGCAAGAATCAGTTAATTAAGGCAACAGGGATTAAAAAGAAGGGTTTTTCCCCCTCTCTGCAGGAATGTAGGGGAAAGCTATGACGGGGAAAGGAGGGTTACTATCTGTGGCTCCTCAGAGATAAGCCAAACTCCATAGCAAACAACGGTGTTTCTGGGGGCTCTTTCCCTCCGTACTCATTTTGTATTTTCTTATACAGGTTGAGTCCCCCTTATTGGGAATTCTGAAATACACCAAATACCAAAAATGTCCACGTTGGTGGCTGAGATAGTGATGCCTTTGCTTGCTGATGGTTCAATGAACACAAAACTTTGTTACATACACAACTTTCATTAAAAAGTAGATTGTATAAAAATGAGCTCCAGACTATGTGTAGAAGGGGGTATATGGAACATCTGTGAATTTCGAGTTTAGACTTGGGTTCCATCTCCATGACATCTCATGTATGTGCAAGTATTCCATTCTGAAATCCAAAACACTTTTGGTCCCTTTCATTTTGGGTAAGGCAACTTACATCTCTCAGCCTTTATTCTCTTCGTTCCTTCCTGAATTGTGAAAGGCCAGGGCAATTCTTTACTTACAGCTGTCCCTGCTGTCTTTGTGGACACTGTTTTTATATAATAAAAGTGAACTGATAATTAAGTGTTCTCCTTTTATTTATTTTTTATTGGTGTTTGCCTTGAATGAAGAGAAGAACTTCATGTCACTTGCCCATAAGGAGCCCCCTGCCCCCAAAGATCCAGGCCTTTCACAAAGGACATTTTTAGATGTTGCTCTTATTATAACAGCAGATGTATGTAAATTTTAACTTTGCACTTTATCTAAATCCCTTTAAATTGTTTATGAATGAAGCCTTTTGGGTTGATCGATGAGCTAAAATTCTTATGACAGCCTATTGGACCACATTTAGTTTTCTTTATCCAGGGGATTTGCAGCTGTTTTGGAATACATATTCATTATTATTGCTCAGACTGGTTATAGCTGCTGGTATTTGGCCTCATCACACTAGAGAAAAAATCCACTTAAAATCTGGTTTCTGCCTCCTGCAGAATTCTGGGGTATGCAGTTTAGGGAGAAGCCTCACTAAACTACAAACCCCAGAATTCTGCAGGAGGCAGAAACCAGATTTTAAGTGGATTTTTTCTCTAGTGTGATGAAGTGTTTGGATTCCAATACATTTAAAGACTCCTACATTCTAATGGCAAGCCTTTTTCTTTTGAACAGTAATGACATGGGCAGTCCATTCAGCTTATCAGTAGGATTTGATGGCAACATCCCAACCAAGAAATTAGTTCTTGATAGCATGCTGTCTTTTAACACTCACGCTGTACTTGGCCATTATGACTAATAGCATCTTACAAATCTCTCATCTGTCAGTTAGGTTAAGTTTCCTTTAAAGCAGTTGGGCAGGGACCATCCCCATGTGTTGTGAAAGTAAATTTCCTAAGCCAGAAGTGGTAAAAGCTCACACCTGGGACCAGACAGAAATTTCTGTCCTCACCTCCCTCAGATGGTCATGTCTCCTCCTGTATTGCATCATGCCCTCTTTTGCATTCTATATGCTTAAAGTGTCTTTTATAATTCTTTGATAAAATATGCTGATATTTTGATCCCATCCTTTGTATCCACTTATCACTAGAAACACTTTTTGTATTTGAATTTGGACTCCAAGCTGGAAGAAGTTTCTAATATCTGCCTTTAATGTGTATTTTTGTAGTATATTCAGTTATTTTTAATCTATAGCATGTAAAAATCACTTGCCACACTCTGATGTTATGACAAACAGAAAATGCATCTCGACACGCCTCTTCTGAATCATAGAATCATAAGAGTTGGAAGGGACCACAGGGGCCATCCAGTCCAACTCCTTGCCATTCAGAAAAAGCACAGTCACTTTACTTCTATCCTTCCTTTTTCCAAGACCAAGATTTATGCTTAAACATTAAAACATTTATAATTAAATACATAAAAAGTTATCATTAAAACCAAGTGAAACTATTAATCATGTTAAAAACATACACTCTAAAATGATTTTAATAGTTAATGCAATTCAAAGCAATACAGACAGTAAAGTCCTTTTTTTATAAACCTTCAGTTCTAAAAGCCTGTTGGAATAGAAAAAGCTTTGCCTGCTGATGAAAGCACAACAGCAAGGAGATGGCCATCCTGACCTCCTTAAGCAGGGACTTCCAAACTCTAGGGTTGCCCTTTCTCATATTACCTCTAATTATAACCTTTTAAGTGTGTAAACCTTTTGCAGCAACTCACATAGCTCCCCGCATCTTCCACTGTTCCTTACAGTTGACTATGTAGACTGATTGGAACTGTAGGCCTAAACTTGGGAAAGGCCATGGCTTCACCATTCTTGTGTTACATAATGTATTTGCTGTGATTTGTGTGTATATAACAGAGAAGGCAGGGGGTGTGGAGTGTTATTGCCATGATACGTGGTTACACATACATTAGAACTTACTTGCTATTTTCTTGTCTATTCACCAATGTGGAGAGATCCTTTCGGAGGTCTCCACACTGATTGAGTTTATAGTATCCTATAAGTATTTTGCCTCCATGCCTGTTTACCTCAAACTCTAGGCCAGTGGTTCTCAACCTGGGGTTCCCAGATGTTTTTGGCCTTCAACTCCCAGAAATCCTAACAGCTGCTAAACTGGCTGGGATTTCTGGGACTTGTAGGCCAAAAACATCTGGGGACCCCAGATTGACATCCACTGCTCTAGGCCATGGGTTCCCAAACTGTAGGCCGGATGCAGCCCTCCAAGATCATTTACCTGGCCCCCTCCCTAAACTTTAGATGTGGGGTCACCCTAAATCTGAAATGACTTGAAGGCACACAACAACAATCCTAATTAATTTGACTATCTCATCAACCAAAAACAGGCCCACACTTTCCATTGAAACACTGGTAAGTTTATGTTGGTTAACATTGTTCTTCATTTAAAAGATTGTATTCTTTAATGTTTTTAGCACTACAAATAAGATATGTGCAATGTGCATTAGAATTCCTCCATGTTTTTCCCCAAACTGTAGTCTGGCCCACCAGTAGTCTGGAGGCCCTCTGCTTCAAAAAATTGAGGACTCCTGCTTTTGACCCTTTATTTTGTTCAACTAATTTTTAATCAATAAAAGGGCTTTTGTCATGCCTGCTCTGAGGGGAACAAGGTAGGGTATGTAGTCCTGTCATTTTACTATCTTCTCAATATTTTAAAGTACATTAATATGAGAGTCACGAAGAGGTGTACTGAGCCCCCCCCCCCCCCGGGCTTAGTTAAATTTGGACATATTTACTTTTGAGTTGTTAATTTGCCATTTAAAACTAGAATGTCATCACTTATTAAGTTTTTACAGCTGTTTGATTTAATCCACTCCCGAGGGGAAAGTGTTTTAGGCATACATAACTGCAGCATGTTCTGCAGTAGAAAAACTAGAAAGAAAAAAAAATCTCTATCCTCCCTATAACCTAGTAGTACTTTCACTCATGTCATTCACTTGTTTGGCCATCTTTCTACTTGTTTTTCTGAGTATGATTTAGATATTATTATATGTTACTTTCACCATTCTTATCAACGGTAAATAGTGTCACAGGACAGTTGTTACAAAATGAAGCCCACGCTGACCAGAGAGGGAAGTATTCTCAGTCCAATCAACCCTAAGGATTGCGGAAGCACCAAAGGAATCATGAGAAAATAAAATTTCATGTGAGAACCATCTAGAATATGCCAGACTGCGCATGTATGTGGTATATACAGGAAAGGGGAGGGAAGAAAAAACACAGATAAATCTGGAACAGTGGGGCTACGTAGCAAAGCTTCCTGTTCAAAGCGCTAGCAAGAGCCACATTTTGCAAGGACAAAATTTGTGCTGTACAATGGATGAATATAAAGAAAAAGGTAGGAAGAGGTGGAAGAAAAGAGACTAGACAGCAGGAAACATGAGATATGGAGGGAATTGCAGGGATTGTGAAACAGAAAACATCAAAAAGGAGGTTCCCACTCCTGAAGAATCAATTGACTGAGAATGTTATGTAGCCTCTATTAGCTAAAAAGAGAAATGGAAAAGAGAGGTGAGGGTGAAATGTGATGTCCCAGAGAAGGGCATAGATAGATAGAACTCTGAACAAGGACCCTCCATTCTTCAGCAACTTGTTGCAGGTCCCACATTCAGTAGCTGTAGCCTATTGTTTGTATTTGTGTGTCACTCTTTTCATTTCATTTTATTGTTATTTTGCTATGACCTGTACTTTTGTTTTGGTCTCCTTTGGGCTAGACTTCCACTTTTTGCTAGAAACGTTTTTGACATGTCTCACAGGGCTAACCACTAACATCCTCTCAAATTCGTTGGTATCTTTCCTAATCTGTGTTGGCCGTCTTATCTACAACTGTATTATTATGTTTAACTCTGTGTATCCTGAAGAACAGATCCCTTCCTAGCCAAGTCTTTTTCAGCTTGTCTTTAGCTATATTGCCTTTATTTTATAATTTATCACTTGTGAGATTTAAATGTAATTGTTCTGGACCTTTTCAGGAACATTCCACTTCGTGAATTTCATTGCATGGTGGTCATTGTTCTTCAGCAGTTCAAAACCATTTATGTTCTGTACTATACACAGAATGTACAGAATGATTTGTATTAAATGTTGCCTTCCCTGCAGTTGGTTCATTTCTTAATTTAAAACAGTGTCTTTTAACATCTAGAAATATTGTCTCTTTGCTGAGCAGTCATTCGGATTATAGATGAAACCACCAGTATAATAACTATCTGACAGATTATTTGCCCTTTCAAGGTGATAT